GCTATTAGAGACATCAATTAGAACAGGAGCCGAATGGTGTTGATGTAATCAGACGCGCGATGTATATCGCTAGTGATGTTTGTTCTATTGTGAAGCAACTCAACTTCATACTGTACACATGCGAGTTGAACACGTGTACAAAGTGTGTACATACTGTGAGCAAAATACTATGTAAACACCTCATGGTGACTAAAACACCATTGAGAAATGTGTGGGAAAATTAGCAGCAATTGCCCTGTGGTGGGTTGCGGGCGGTGAAATTGTGAGGGCGGTGAAAGGGTTGTGGGGGGGGGGGGGTATAGGGGAAGGGGGAAAGTGGATTACTCATTAAGTTAATTATGTGGCTGTAGTAGTTCCTCATCGGTTCAAGTGCCGCAGTCAGATCTACTTGCTGTGTATGTTGGGGGGGGGGGGGGGGGTGACAGGGAGGATGTCGGGCTTTGTGTGATAGCGAGGATGAGTCGACGGAAACTAGATCTCCTGATTCAAGACATCATCCAACATCATCCCATCACTCTCCCATCAACATCATCCCATCACTCTTCCATCAACATCATCCCATCACTCTCACATCTATCAACATCATCCCATCACTCTCCCATCAACATCATCCCATCACTCTCACATCAACATCATCCCATCACTCTTCCATCAACATCATCCCATCACTCTCCCATCAACATCATCCCATCACTCTCCCATCAACATCATCCCATCACTCTCACATCTATCAACATCATCCCATCACTCTCCCATCAACATCATCCCATCACTCTTCCATCAACATCATCCCATCACTCTCACATCTATCAACATCATCCCATCACTCTCCCATCAAAATCATCCCATCACTCTCCCATCTATCAACATCATCCCATCACTCTCATATCAACATCATCCAATAACTCTCCCATCTATCAACATCATCCCATCACTCTCCCATCAACATCATCCCATCACCCTCATATCAACATCATCCCATCACTCTCATATCAACATCATCCCATCACTCTCACATCAACATCATCCCATCACTCTCACATCAACATCATCCCATCACTCTTACATCTATCAACATCATCCCATCACTCTCCCATCTATCAACATCATCCCATCACTCTCCCATCTATCAACATCATCCCATCACTCTCATATCAACATCATCCAATAACTCTCCCATCTATCAACATCATCCCATCACCCTCATATCAACATCATCCCATCACTCTCATATCAACATCATCCCATCACCCTCATATCAACATCATCCCATCACTCTCATATCAACATCATCCCATCACTCTCCCATCCATCAACATTATCCCATCACTCTATCAACATCACCCCATCACTCTCATATCAACATCATCCCATCACCCTCATATCAACATCATCCCATCACTCTCATATCAACATCATCCCATCACTCTCACATCCATCAACATCATCCCATCACTCTCACATCAATATCATCCCATCACTATCACATCTATCAACATCATCCCATTACTCTTACATCTATCAACATCATCCCATCACTCTCATATCAACATCATTCTACCACTCTCATATCAACATCATTCCATCACTCTCATATCAACATCATCCCATCACTCTCTCATCAACATCATCCCATCACTCTCATATCAACATCATCCCATCACTCTTATATCAACATCATCCCATCACTCTCATATCAACATCATCCCATCACTCTCCCATCCATCAACATCATCCCATCACTCTCCCATCAACATCATCCCATCACTCTCACATCAACATCATCCCATCACTCTTCCATCAACATCATCCCATCACTCTCCCATCTATCAACATCATCCCATCACTCTCACATCTATCAACATCATCCCATCACTCTCCCATCTATCAACATCATCCCATCACTCTCCCATCTATCAACATCATCCCACCACTCTCATATCAACATCATCCCATCACTCTCACATCAACATCATCCCATCACTCTCCCATCTATCAACATCATCCCACCACTCTCATATCAACATCATCCCATCACTCTCACATCAACATCATCCAATAACTCTCCCATCTATCAACATCATCCCATCACTCTCCCATCTATCAACATCATCCCATCACTCTCACATCAACATCATCCCATCACTCTCATATCAACATCATCCCATCACTCTCCCATCAAAATCATCCCATCACTCTCACATCAACATCATCCCATCACTCTCACATCAACATCATCCCATCACTCTCCCATCAACATCATCCCATCACTCTCACATCAACATCATCCCATCACTCTTACATCTATCAACATCATCCCATCACTCTCCCATCTATCAACATCATCCCATCACTCTCCCATCTATCAACATCATCCCATCACTCTCATATCAACATCATCCAATAACTCTCCCATCTATCAACATCATCCCATCACTCTCCCATCTATCAACATCATCCCATCACTCTCCCATCTATCAACATCATCCCATCACTCTCATATCAACATCATCCAATAACTCTCCCATCTATCAACATCATCCCATCACTCTCCCATCTATCAACATCATCCCATCACTCTCATATCAACATCATCCAATAACTCTCCCATCTATCAACATCATCCCATCACCCTCATATCAACATCATCCCATCACTCTCATATCAACATCATCCCATCACCCTCATATCAACATCATCCCATCACTCTCATATCAACATCATCCCATCACTCTCCCATCCATCAACATCATCAAATCACTCTCATATCAACATCATCCCATCACTCTCCCATCCATCAACATCATCCCATCACTCTCATATCAACATCATCCCATCACTATCCCATCTATCAACATCATCCCATCACTCTCCCATCCATCAACATCATCCCATCACTCTCCCATCCATCAACATCATCCCATCACTCTCATTTATATGCTTCAATTTATGTATTAATGTTTATATGCGAATTTATAGCTAGATATTGTGGCAAATCCATTTAATTTAAAACAAAATCTGCCTATAAATGGTGTCTAGATAGCCGTTTCTCATGTTCAGAGGACATGTCAGTTATTCTGAAGGACATGTTAGTTGTCTAAAGAGAATGCCAGTTTCATAGATGACATGTCGGTTGTCCTTGAGGACATGTAGGTTGTCCTAGAGGACATGTCAGATGTAGTTTTACCACCATTCTCGGCCTATACGACTATTGTTCACAAATACAACTAATATCTCTAAATCCCCTGGGCCTCTGGACCCAGCCTGATCAGCCCTAACTTTTTATCCGCCACTGGTGAGTATGTATCACGTGTCTGGCCAAAAGATGGCGATTGGGCAGCTGCTCCCAGGATCTTGTCCGTCGTCTGCTCAAGATTCCCACCCTGCTTGGTGTAGTTAATTAGATCTTTAGTGGCCCCGCTAATTAAAATAACAAAAGAGACAAACAACAACGGATGTCTACTCGACCGAAATCATCGCCAAGTCAGATAACAATTGAGTGAATGAAGTTTTAATCCCACAGGTTCATCAAGTTCATAGCTCCATCGTATTGTACGCAGCGGTCAGAGTCAATGTTTGTCAACATGTATTGACAGGTTTGTGTACACGTGTTGACAGGTTTGTGTACAAGTGTTGACAGGTTTGTGTACATGTGTTGACAGGTTTGTGTACATGTGTTGACAGGTTTGTGTACACGTGTTGACAGGTTTGTGTACATGTGTTGACAGGTTTGTGTACATCTGTTGACAGGTTTGTGTACATGTGTTGACAGGTTTGTGTACATGTGTTGACAGGTTTGTGTACACGTGTTGACAAGATGTGTGTACATGTGTTGACAGGTTTGTGTACATGTGTTGACAGGTTTGTGTACATGTGTTGACAGGTTTGTGTAGATGTGTTGACAAGATGTGTGTACATATGTTGACAAGGTTTGTGTGTACACGTGTTGACTAGATGTGTGTAAATGTGTACACTAGACCAGCCCCGCGTCACGACACATCTTGTAGAACACGCCCTTTCCCTCGATCAACTTTTGGGGCGTGTCGAATTCTCGGATCATTCCAGCATCCAGCACAAGGATTCTAGAGGGGGACAAACACAACTTTAGAAGTAGGACATCTTCTAGTGGTAGGACATTTTTGGTAGGACATACTAAAGGTGAGATATACTTTTATTAACAAGAGGTTTCTTTTAGAACTAGGACATTCTTCTAAAAACAGGGCAATTCTTTTGATGGCAAGGCCTTCTAATAGTGGGACATTCTTTAAGTGGTAGGACATTCTTCTAATAGTAGGACATTCTTTATTCTTCTAATAGTAGGACATTCTTTAAGTGGTAGGATAGGACATTCTTGTGGTAATAAAAATGATTTCGGTTATGATATTTTTGCTGGGGTTAGAGGACGTTCTGCTAAGTTGAATGAAGGACATTCTTGAAGTGGTAGGACATTCCTTAAGTGGTAGGACATTCTTATAATATTATCCTGACTGACCTGTCGTCGTCCATTATAGTGTTGAGCCTATGGGCTATGACGATACTGACTGTGGGCGATACTGACCTGTCGTAGTCCGTGGGGTGTTGAGCCTGTGGGCGATGGCGATACTGACTGTGGGCGATACTGACCTGTTGTAGTCCATGATAGTGTTGAGCCTATGGGCGATACTGACTGTGGGCGATACTGACTGTGTGCAATACTGACCTGTCATAGTCCATGATAGTGTTGAGTCTGTGGGCGATACTGACCTGTTGTAGTCCATGATAGTGTTGAGCCTATGGGCGATACTGACTGTGGGCGATACTGACTGTGGACGATACTGACCTGTCGTAGTCCATGATGGTGTTGAGTCTGTGGGCGATGGCGATACTGACTGTGGGCGATACTGACCTGTTGTAGTCCATGATAGTGTTGAGCCTATGGGCGATACTGACTGTGGGCGATACTGACTGTGTGCAATACTGACCTGTCATAGTCCATGATGGTGTTGAGTCTGTGGGCGATACTGACCTGTCATAGTCCATGATGGTGTTGAGTCTATGGGCGATACTGACCTGTCATAGTCCATGATGGTGTTGAGCCGGTGGGCGATGGCGATACTGACTGTGGGCGATACTGACCTGTTGTAGTCCATGATAGTGTTGAGCCTATGGGCGATACTGACTGTGGGCGATACTGACTGTGTGCAATACTGACCTGTCATAGTCCATGATGGTGTTGAGTCTGTGGGCGATACTGACCTGTCATAGTCCATGATGGTGTTGAGCCGGTGGGCGATACTGACCTGTCATAGTCCATGATGGTGTTGAGCCGGTGGGCGATGGCGATACTGACTGTGGGCGATACTGACCTGTTGTAGTCCATGATAGTGTTGAGCCTATGGGCGATACTGACTGTGGGCGATACTGACTGTGTGCAATACTGACCTGTCATAGTCCATGATGGTGTTGAGTCTGTGGGCGATACTGACCTGTCATAGTCCATGATGGTGTTGAGTCTGTGGGCGATACTGACCTGTCATAGTCCATGATGGTGTTGAGCCGGTGGGCGATGGCGATACTGACTGTGGGCGATACTGACCTGTTGTAGTCCATGATAGTGTTGAGCCTATGGGCGATACTGACTGTGGGCGATACTGACTGTGTGCAATACTGACCTGTCATAGTCCATGATGGTGTTGAGTCTGTGGGCGATACTGACCTGTCATAGTCCATGATGGTGTTGAGTCTATGGGCGATACTGACCTGTCATAGTCCATGATGGTGTTGAGCCGGTGGGCGATGGCGATACTGACTGTGGGCGATACTGACCTGTTGTAGTCCATGATAGTGTTGAGCCTATGGGCGATACTGACTGTGGGCGATACTGACTGTGTGCAATACTGACCTGTCATAGTCCATGATGGTGTTGAGTCTGTGGGCGATACTGACCTGTCATAGTCCATGATGGTGTTGAGCCGGTGGGCGATACTGACCTGTCATAGTCCATGATGGTGTTGAGCCGGTGGGCGATGGCGATACTGACTGTGGGCGATACTGACCTGTTGTAGTCCATGATAGTGTTGAGCCTATGGGCGATACTGACTGTGGGCGATACTGACTGTGTGCAATACTGACCTGTCATAGTCCATGATGGTGTTGAGTCTGTGGGCGATACTGACCTGTCATAGTCCATGATGGTGTTGAGTCTGTGGGCGATGGCGATGATGGTGCAGTCCCTGAAGGCCTCCCGGATGGTGGCCTGGATCAGCGCGTCCGTCTCCATGTCAATGGCGGCCGTGGCCTCGTCCAGGACCAGGATCTTGGTCCTCCTCAGGAGTGACCTGGCCAGACACACCAGCTGTCTCTGGCCCACGCTGGGGAGGGGACGGGGGGGATCAACTTTTCTGGCAGGGGAATAATCTTTTCTGGCAGGGGAATCAACTTTTCTGGCAGGGGAAACAACTTTTGTGTCAGGGGAATCAACTTTTCTGTCAGAGGAAACAACTTTTCTGTCAGGGGAATCAACTTTTCTGTCAGGGGAATCAACTTTTCTGGCAGGGGAATCAACTTTTCTGGCAGGGGAAACAACTTTTGTGTCAGGGGAATCAACTTTTCTGTCAGAGGAAACAACTTTTCTGTCAGGGGAATCAACTTTTCTGTCAGAGGAAACAACTTTTCTGTCAGGGGAATCAACTTTTCTGTCAGGGGAATCAACTTTTCTGTCAGGGGAATCAACTTTCCTGTCAGGGGAATCAACTTTTCTGTCAGGGGAATCAACTTTTCTGTCAGGGGAATCAACTTTTGTGTCAGAGGAAACAACTTTTCTGTCAGGGGAATCAACTTTTCTGTCAGGGGAATCAACTTTTCTGTCAGAGGAATCAACTTTTCTGTCAGGGGAATCAACTTTTCTGTCAGGGGAATCAACTTTTCTGTCAGGGGAATCAACTTTTCTGTCAAGGGAATCAACTTTTCTGTCAGGAGAATCAACTTTTGTGTCAGGAGAATCAACTTTCCTGTCAGGAGAATCAACTTTTCTGTCAGGGGAATCAACTTTTCTGTCAGGGGAATCAACTTTTCTGTCAGGGGAATCAACTTTTCTGTCAGAGGAATCAACTTTTCTGTCAGGGGAATCAACTTTTCTGTCAGGGGAATCAACTTTTCTGTCAGGGGAATCAACTTTTCTGTCAAGGGAATCAACTTTTCTGTCAGGAGAATCAACTTTTCTGTCAGGAGAATCAACTTTCCTGTCAGGAGAATCAACTTTTCTGTCAGGGGAATCAACTTTTCTGTCAGGGGAATCAACTTTACCAACACAGGGATTAGATACACGTTAATGGTATAGTTCAGAGGGGGGGGGGGGATGGCGTCGTAATTGCACAACCCGTGTAGTTACAAAGTCAATTAAAAACAATCAAAATGTCGTTAAAGTTTCAAACAATCAAATTTCATTAAAGTTTCAATCTATCAAATGTCAGTAAAGTTTCAAACAAGCAAATGTCATTACAATTTCAATCAAAATGTCATTAAAATTTCAATCAAATGTCCGTAAAGTTTCAATCAAATGTCAGTAAAGTTTCAAATAATCAATTGTCAGTAAAGTTCCCATAAAATATCATTAAAGTTTCCATCAAATGTCAGTAAAGTTTCAAATAATCAATTGTCAGTAAAGTTTCCATAAAATATCATTAAAGTTTCCATCAAATGTCAGTAAAGTTTCAATCAAAATGTCAATAAAGTTTCCATCAAATGTCAGTAAAGTCTCAACCAAATGTCAGTAAAGTCTCAATCAAATATCAGTAAAGTTTCAATCAAAATGTCAGTAAAGTTTCCATAAAATGACAGTAAAGTCTCAACCAAATGTCAGTAAAGTCTCAATGAAACGTCAGTAAAGTTTCCATCAAACGTCAGTAAAGTCTCAATGAAATGTCAGCAAAGTTTCCATCAAATTTCAGTAAAGTCTCAATGAAATGTCAGCAAAGTTTCCATCAAATGTCAGTAAAGTCTCAATCAAATGTCAGTAAAGTTTCCATCAAATGTCAGTAAAGTCTCAATCAAATGTCAGTAAAGTTTCCATCAAATGTCAGTAAAGTCTCAATCAAATGTCAGTAAAGTTTCCATCAAATGTCAGTAAAGTCTCAATCAAATGTCAGTAAAGTTTCCATCAAACGTCAGTAAAGTTTCCATCAAATGTCAGTAAAGTCTCAACCAAATGTCAGTAAAGTCTCAACCAAATGTCAGTAAAGTCTCAATGTTTACCTGAGGTTGCCAAATGTCAGTAAAGTCTCAATGATTACCTGAGGTTGCCAAATGTCAGTAAAGTCTCAATGATTACCTGAGGTTGCTGCCCTCCTCCCCACACTCGTACAACAGCCTGTCCGGCTGACCAGCCACAAAACTCTTGAGATGGGAACGTTCTAGAGCCGTCCACAGCTGGACGTCGCTGTACTGATCGAACGGGTCGATATTCATCCGCAGGGTTCCAGAAAATAGTACCGGGTCCTGGGGAGAAACGGGGTTATGAAGGTCAGTTCGCTACAGGTGGACTGTCAGGTAGGTGGTTACCTGCGGCAGGATGGTGAGATGTTTACCTGTGGCAGGATGGTGAGATGTTTACCTGCGGCAGGATGGTGAGATGTTTACCTGCGGCAGGATGGTGAGATGTTTACCTGCGGCAGGATGGTGAGATGTTTACCTGCAGGATGGTGTGAGATGTTTACCTGCGGCAGGATGGTGTGAGATGTTTACCTGCGGCAGGATGGTGAGATGTTTACCTGCAGCAGGATGGTGAGATGTTTACCTGCGGCAGGATGGTGAGATGTTTACCTGAGGCAGGATGGTGAGATGTTTACCTGTGGCAGGATGGTGAGATGTTTACCTGCAGCAGGATGGTGTGAGATGTTTACCTGCGGCAGGATGGTGTGAGATGTTTACCTGCGGCAGGATGGTGAGATGTTTACCTGTGGCAGGATGGTGAGATGTTTACCTGTGGCAGGATGGTGAGATGTTTACCTGCGGCAGGATGGTGAGATGTTTACCTGCGGCAGGATGGTGAGATGTTTACCTGCGGCAGGATGGTGAGATGTTTACCTGCAGGATGGTGTGAGATGTTTACCTGCGGCAGGATGGTGTGAGATGTTTACCTGCGGCAGGATGGTGAGATTTTTACCTGCGGCAGGATGGTGAGATGTTTACCTGCGACAGGATGGTGAGATGTTTACCTGCAGCAGGATGGTGAGATGTTTACCTGCAGGATGGTGTGAGATGTTTACCTGCGGCAGGATGGTGAGATGTTTACCTGCGGCAGGATGGTGAGATGTTTACCTGCGGCAGGATGGTGAGATGTTTACCTGCGGCAGGATGGTGTGAGATGTTTACCTGCGGCAGGATGGTGAGATGTTTACCTGCGGCAGGATGGTGAGATGTTTACCTGCGGCAGGATGGTGAGATGTTTACCTGCGGCAGGATGGTGAGATGTTTACCTGCGGCAGGATGGTGAGATGTTTACCTGCAGGATGGTGTGAGATGTTTACCTGCGGCAGGATGGTGTGAGATGTTTACCTGCGGCAGGATGGTGAGATGTTTACCTGCGGGAGGATGGTGAGATGTTTACCTGCGGCAGGATGGTGAGATGTTTACCTGCGGCAGGATGGTGAGATGTTTACCTGCAGCAGGATGGTGAGATGTTTACCTGCAGGATGGTGTGAGATGTTTACCTGCGGCAGGATGGTATGAGAGCTTTACCTGCGGCAGGATGGTGAGTTTACTCCTCAGGTCATGCAGGCCAATGTCCGCTATGTTGACACCGTCTATGTTGATCGAACCACTCACAGCTTCAATGATGCGGAACAGGCAAAGGGTCAAGGACGATTTTCCAGCCCCAGTTCTACCCACAATTCCTACCTGTACATAGGAAATGGGAGATTGGAAGAGTTGTTGTGATGTGTATGCAGGTTGATTAGCTCATTGGAAATAATGATTTAATGAACTAAAACAATTTTGAGCCCAACTACCGTCCTACCTTCTCCCCGCCCCTGATATGGCAGTTGACTCCCTTGAGAATGAGATCCAAACCTTCTCTGTAACGTGTCTGGTAGTTGGTGAATGTAACGTCGCCGCTGGTTGGCCAGGATGGCGACGGTCGGTTGCTAGGGATGACTAGGGCAGCCTGACCCGGAGTACGAACATGTTTTTTAATACATCGTCAAATGATGAATTATCGTGGAACTTTGATTTATCGAAAGTTAGGACGTTTAATGTTATGGAGTTAAAGCTCTTTTAGTCTATGAAAGGAGGTACGACTACAGTCAGGTTTGGATTAGGTGGTATCGCTCTTGGGAAAGTCGATGTAAGAATTATATTGTGGTGGTCTCTCGTGTAAACTTGTACCTAATGGCGTAATGGTATCGCAGTAAAGCGGTATCGTAATGTAAGGGTCTCGTTGTAAAGTGGAATCGTAATGACAGTGTATCGTAATGTTATAATATTGTAATGTTATAATATCGTGATATGATGGTATTCAATAGAAAGATATCGTTGTGTACTAGTATCGTAAAGTAATGGTACTATGACATAATTAGAAAACCAGAGTATCGATACCTCCTGCTGGACGTGTGAGTACTCCTTCATCCTCTCCACGGACACGATGTTTGTCTCGAACTCGCAGATCTGTCGGACCATGTAGGGCAGTGACCCCGACACCTGGGGAGTGGTCACGTGATGTGGTGAGCGACACCGATGGAATGTGACTCACCTAGACTCACCTGTTGCAGACGACGGCTAAACTTGACTTAATGAACCGGCTCTGACCGTCTGACTGACAGGCACCTGGTGGAGCTTTTAATCTCTAGCTTCAGTCACGGGGGGTAGCGGCCCGTGTCTAGAGGTCTTTTATTAACTCCCCCCCCCCCCCACCCCACTACATTGACACTTCCACCCACCCCAACATACCCCAGCTACAAAAACACACCCCACTGTGTAAGCAGCCAGCACCTGACCCCCCCCCCCCCCCAGACCAGCAGACGACCGAACGAACCAGGAAGTCAAACGTTAGTCCACTAGACACCTGCTGGCCGGAAGTCAAACGTTCGTCCACTAGACCTGCTGGCCGGAAGTCAAACGTTCGTCCACTAGACCTGCTGGTTCAATGGCTTTAGATTTCAAGTACCAGACGATTAGTGACGTCATGGACGGTGCCAGAGTGTATCGCACAGCCTGCATGTTATTACACGGGGGGGGGGCAGTTACCGATGTTCTATTGGGGGGGGGGGGGAGGGGGCAGTTTAACGATGTTCTATGGAACCTAATGGGGGGGGGGGCAGTTTACTGATGTTTACTGATTTAAAAATCCGTGAAGATGTATTTTTTCTAACACATCGTATATACATAGACTACAAAGAAAACCAACTACTGCTCTATCAAATCTTTTATACATAGACCACAGACACGTGCAACTATTGGTCTAAATTTGGCCTGGGTAAAATGCGTACAATGACTGAACCGTTACCTGGAGAGCATAAGACACAGAGAGACCGGCGTCACTGCCCCCTCCCCCGCTGACAATCTGCAGGACAGCAGCAAACAGCACAACAAGGTTGGCCAACATGTCCATGTTCTGCTGGAGCCATCTGCATAGAGGTCATCCAGGTCAGTAGGTCATTGACACGACCAGGTTAGTAGGTCATTGGGGAACAGGTCAGTTGGCCATTGGAGGACAGGTCAGTAGGTCAGTTGGTCATCGAAGTCCGGGCCAATAGGTCAGTAGGTCACTGGACAACACACCTCTCACCTAAGAGCAACACACCTCTCACCTAAGAGCAACACACCTCTCACCTGAGGGCAACACACCTCTCACCTGAGAGCAGCGAAACTGGCGAAGAAGTAGACCTGGTTCTTGTCGACCCTCTGGTCTGAGGTGTCGGTGAACCTGGGCGTGGCCCTGTAGGCCCGGATGACCGCGGCCCCGGTCAGCGACTCGCTAAAGTGGACGTACACGGGGGACCGGGCGATAGACTCGATCCGCTTCAGTTGGCGGGAGGTCCGCACGTAGTAGTTCTGTGGGTCACACGGGTCTGTGTGGGTCACACGGGTTGTGTGTGGGCAACACGGGTCATGTGTGGGCAACACGGGTCATGTGTGGGTAACACGGGTCATGTGTGGACAACACGGGTCATGTGTGTGGGTCACACGGGTCATGTGTGGACAACACGGGTCATGTGTGTGAGTCACACGGGTCATGTGTGGACAACATGGGTCATGTGTGGGTTACACGGGTCATGTGTGGACAACACGGGTCATGGCAACACGGGTCATGTGTGGAGAACACGGGTCAAGTGTGCTCAACACATGTCACATGACTACAAGCTGGCTGACCCCGCCTACCTTGATGATGAGGAAGAGGACGATGAGAGGCACCAGCACAGCACCAAAGATGGGGGACTTGATGAGGACGACGATGATGGTGAAAGTGATGATGGTTGCCGTTACTATGACGTCACACATAATGAGAGGTAAATTGTTATCCACCGTGTCCACATCTTTAGAGAATCTACAAATGACACAATTTAAACAGATCTACAAATGACACATTTCAAACAGACCTACAAATGACACAATTCAAACAGACCTGTGACATGAATATTTTATTCTTTAAGGTTAGTATCAATCAAAGTTGTACAGGTTTAATTTGTGCGATGTCCAAGAAATGTTTTTTTCTGGGTTTGTTCCTGGAGACACGCTCGCGAGGTTAAGTTACAGTGAGTGACGTGTGGGTGGGGCAGTCGTGAGGAGTTACCTGTTGGTGGGTGGGGAGTTACCTGTTGGTGGGTGGGGAGTTACCTGTTGGTGGGTGGGGCAGACGTGGGGAGTTACCTGTTGGTGGGTGGGGAGTTACCTGTTGGTGGGTGGGGAGTTACCTGTTGGTGGGTGGGGAGTTACCTGTTGGTGGGTGGGGGAGTTACCTGTTGGTGGGTGGGGCAGTCGTGGGGTGTTACCTGTTGGTGGGTGGGGAGTTACCTGTTGGTGGGTGGGGGAGTTACCTGTTGGTGGGTGGGGCAGTCGTGGGGTGTTACCTGTTGGTGGGTGGGGAGTTACCTGTTGGTGGGTGGGGCAGACGGGGGGAGTTACCTGTTGGTGGGTGGGGCAGACGTGGGGAGTTACCTGTTGGTGGGTGGGGCAGACGTGGGGAGTTACCTGTTGGTGGGTGGGGCAGTCGTGGGGAGTTACCTGTTGGTGGGTGGGGCAGTCGTGGGGTGTTACCTGTTGGTGGGTGGGGCAGACGTGGGGAGTTACCTGTTGGTGGGTGGGGCAGACGTGGGGAGTTACCTGTTGGTGGGTGGGGCAGACGTGGGGAGTTACCTGTTGGTGGGTGGGGCAGTCGTGGGGAGTTACCTGTTGGTGGGTGGGGCAGTCGTGGGGTGTTACCTGTTGGTGGGTGGGGCAGACGTGGGGAGTTACCTGTTGGTGGGTGGGGCAGACGGGGGGAGTTACCTGTTGGTGGGTGGGGCAGGCGTGGGGAGTTACCTGTTGGTGGGTGGGGCAGACGGGGGGAGTTACCTGTTGGTGGGTGGGGCAGACGTGGGGAGTTACCTGTTGGTGGGTGGGGCAGACGTGGGGAGTTACCTGTTGGTGGGTGGGGCAGTCGTGGGGAGTTACCTGTTGGTGGGTGGGGCAGTCGTGGGGAGTTACCTGTTGGTGGGTGGGGCAGACGTGGGGAGTTACCTGTTGGTGGGTGGGGCAGACGGGGGGAGTTACCTGTTTGTGGGTGGGGCAGGCGTGGGGAGTTACCTGTTGGTGGGTGGGGCAGACGGGGGGAGTTACCTGTTGGTGGGTGGGGCAGTCGTGGGGTGTTACCTGTTGGTGGGTGGGGAGTTACCTGTTGGTGGGTGGGGCAGACGTGGGGAGTTACCTGTTGGTGGGTGGGGCAGTCGTGGGGAGTTACCTGTTGGTGGGTGGGGCAGTCGTGGGGTGTTACCTGTTGGTGGGTGGGGCAGACGTGGGGAGTTACCTGTTGGTGGGTGGGGCAGACGGGGGGAGTTACCTGTTGGTGGGTGGGGCAGTCGTGGGGTGTTACCTGTTGGTGGGTGGGGAGTTACCTGTTGGTGGGTGGGGGAGTTACCTGTTGGTGGGTGGGGGAGTTACCTGTTGGTGGGTGGGGCAGTCGTGGGGTGTTACCTGTTGGTGGGTGGGGAGTTACCTGTTGGTGGGTGGGGCAGACGGGGGGAGTTACCTGTTGGTGGGTGGGGCAGACGTGGGGAGTTACCTGTTGGTGGGTGGGGCAGACGTGGGGAGTTACCTGTTGGTGGGTGGGGCAGTCGTGGGAAGTTACCTGTTGGTGGGTGGGGCAGTCGTGGGGTGTTACCTGTTGGTGGGTGGGGCAGACGGGGGGAGTTACCTGTTGGTGGGTGGGGCAGGCGTGGGGAGTTACCTGTTGGTGGGTGGGGCAGACGGGGGGAGTTACCTGTTGGTGGGTGGGGCAGTCGTGGGGTGTTACCTGTTGGTGGGTGGGGCAGACGTGGGGAGTTACCTGTTGGTGGGTGGGGCAGACGTGGGGAGTTACCTGTTGGTGGGTGGGGCAGTCGTGGGGAGTTACCTGTTGGTGGGTGGGGCAGACGTGGGGAGTTACCTGTTGGTGGGTGGGGCAGTCGTGGGGAGTTACCTGTTGGTGGGTGGGGCAGTCGTGGGGTGTTACCTGTTGGTGGGTGGGGCAGTCGTGGGGAGTTACCTGTTGGTGGGTGGGGCAGTCGTGGGGTGTTACCTGTTGGTGGGTGGGGCAGACGTGGGGAGTTACCTGTTGGTGGGTGGGGCAGACGGGGGGAGTTACCTGTTGGTGGGTGGGGCAGTCGTGGGGTGTTACCTGTTGGTGGGTGGGGCAGTCGTGGGGAGTTACCTGTTGGTGGGTGGGGCAGTCGTGGGGTGTTACCTGTTGGTGGGTGGGGCAGACGTGGGGAGTTACCTGTTGGTGGGTGGGGCAGACGGGGGGAGTTACCTGTTGGTGGGTGGGGCAGGCGTGGGGAGTTACCTGTTGGTGGGTGGGGCAGACGGGGGGAGTTACCTGTTGGTGGGTGGGGCAGTCGTGGGGTGTTACCTGTTGGTGGGTGGGGCAGACGTGGGGAGTTACCTGTTGTTGGGTGGGGCAGTCGTGGGGTATTACCTGTTGGTGGGTGGGGCAGACGTGGGGAGTTACCTGTTGGTGGGTGGGGCAGACGGGGGGAGTTACCTGTTGGTGGGTGGGGCAGTCGTGGGGTGTTACCTGTTGGTGGGTGGGGCAGACGTGGGGAGTTACCTGTTGGTGGGTGGGGCAGACGTGGGGAGTTACCTGTTTGTGGGTGGGGCAGTCGTGGGGAGTTACCTGTTGGTGGGTGGGGCAGACGTGGGGAGTTACCTGTTGGTGGATGGGGCAGACGTGGGGAGTTACCTGTTGGTGGGTGGGGCAGTCGTGGGGAGTTACCTGTTGGTGGGTGGGGCAGTCGTGGGGAGTTACCTGTTGGTGGGTGGGGCAGACGTGGGGAGTTACCTGTTGGTGGGTGGGGCAGACGGGGGGAGTTACCTGTTGGTGGGTGGGGCAGGCGTGGGGAGTTACCTGTTGGTGGGTGGGGCAGACGGGGGGAGTTACCTGTTGGTGGGTGGGGCAGTCGTGGGGTGTTACCTGTTGGTGGGTGGGGAGTTACCTGTTGGTGGGTGGGGCAGACGTGGGGAGTTACCTGTTGGTGGGTGGGGCAGTCGTGGGGAGTTACCTGTTGGTGGGTGGGGCAGTCGTGGGGTGTTACCTGTTGGTGGGTGGGGCAGACGTGGGGAGTTACCTGTTGGTGGGTGGGGCAGACGGGGGGAGTTACCTGTTGGTGGGTGGGGCAGTCGTGGGGTGTTACCTGTTGGTGGGTGGGGAGTTACCTGTTGGTGGGTGGGGGAGTTAGCTGTTGGTGGGTGGGGGAGTTACCTGTTGGTGGGTGGGGCAGTCGTGAGGTGTTACCTGTTGGTGGGTGGGGCAGTCGTGAGGTGTTACCTGTTGGTGGGTGGGGAGTTACCTGTTGGTGGGTTGGGCAGACGGGGGGAGTTACCTGTTGGTGGGTGGGGAGTTACCTGTTGGTGGGTGGGGCAGACGGGGGGAGTTACCTGTTGGTGGGTGGGGCAGTCGTGGGGTGTTACCTGTTGGTGGGTGGGGGAGTTACCTGTTGGTGGGTGGGGCAGTCGTGAGGTGTTACCTGTTGGTGGGTGGGGCAGACGGGGGGAGTTACCTGTTGGTGGGTGGGACAGACGTGGAAAATTACCTGTTGGTGGGTGGGGCAGACGGGGGGAGTTACCTGTTGGTAGATGGGGAGTTACCTGTTGGTGGGTGGGGCAGACGTGGGGAGTTACCTGTTGGTGGGTGGGACAGACGTGGAAAATTACCTGTTGGTGGGTGGGGCAGACGGGGGGAGTTACCTGTTGGTAGGTGGGGAGTTACCTGTTGGTGGGTGGGGCAGACGTGGAAAATTACCTGTTGGTGGGTGGGGCAGACGGGGGGAGTTACCTGTTGGTAGGTGGGGAGTTACCTGTTGGTGGGTGGGGCAGACGTGGAAAATTACCTGTTGGTGGGTGGGGCAGACGTGGGGAGATACCTGTTGAGGATCCGCCCGATTGGTGTCTGGTCAAAGAACGCCATGGGCGCGTGCAGAAGTCGCTCCAGCAGAAGTCCGTGGAGTCTGGAGGCGGCGCGGACCAGTCGGTACCAGAAGAGGTAGTTGAAGAGTACGAAGGTCGAAACTGGCAATGACATCATGGTCTAGTGTTAGGTAGTGCCAGCAGGATGTCATCATGACGTATTATTAAAGACTTTCTCACATCTTTAACAGCAGTTCACTCGACCACGTCAAGCAACACTAGAAGATTTCTCTGACAAACAAACGCATTCTTACACTTACATATACATGTATATGTATACTTACACTGAGCCAGGCCAAAGAAGACCCCGTAAACGATGACGTAGACATCAGTCTTGTGCGCCCCTTCTGCCGACACCCTGGTTGTGGCGTTCAGCAAAAAGGCGTCCTCCGTCCATTTGGACAGCCAGAAGCTCGAGCCCACGATAAAACCTTTCAAGAAATCGTTTACAGACCAGGTGTAAGACCAGGTGTTAGTCCAGGTGTTAGACCAGGTGTTAGACCAAGTACAGAACCAGGTGTTAGACAAGGTGTTAGACCAGGTGTTAGACCAAGTACAAAACCAGGTGTTAGACAAGGTGTTAGACCAGGTGTTAGACCAAGTACAAAACCAGGTGTTAGACAAGGTGTTAGACCAGGTGTTAGATCAGGTGTTAGACCAGGTGTTAGACCAAGTACAAAACCAGGTGTTAGACAAGGTGTTAGACCAGGTGTTAGATCAGGTGTTAGACCAGGTGTTAGACAAGGTGTTAGACCAGGTGTTAGACCAAGTACCTAACCAGGTGTTAGACAAGGTGTTAGACCAGGTGTTAGATCAGGTGTTAGACAAAGTACTGGATCAGGTGTTCTACACGCCCATCGACTTTGTTCCGTCAACTTTTTAAGCAGGTTCAACAAAATATTGTTTCTTATTGCTCTAAAACCTAACAACGTACTGCTACAATTGACAACAAAAAATATTTGTGTGGTCCCCAAAAAAAAAAAAAAGCTTGTGTAGACATGAACCCCAAATGAACAAGCCAACAACTGCCTGTACCTTGGTTGAGGCCGAACATCAGAAGTGCTGTGGCCATTGACCAGAGCCCCGCGGCCCGACCGTACACCAGGAACACGTCACGTTTTACCTGCAAGGTGGGAAACACGTCAACACCACGTGACCAATGTGACTCCACACGAGTTCCAGCCTGACACCCCCACACATCCCACACACGTGTACCCCCACACATCCCACACACGTGCACCCAACTATGCTACGCCCACACCCTCACATGCCCCACACCCACCTAATCAGCTATAATACTCACACTTCCTGTTTCCAGTTTTTCCGCCGTCACGAGTTGTCCCCCCTCGGCGTACAGACTTTTCTCGAACATGGTGGACGCCATGGACAGGTCGAGCGACTCGTGGGTGAGCAGTGGCTTCAGCCTCGTCTCGTCCCTGCTGCTCACGTGTGTGTGGGGGGGGGGGACATGCAGTGACAAGAGATACTCACACACGTTACAAACACACGTTACACACACGTACTCACACACGTTACACACACACGTTACACACACACGTTACACACACACGTTACACACACTCACACACGTTACACACACACGTTACACACACACTTTACACACACACGTTACACACACGCTACACACACGTACACACACACGTTACACACACACGTTACACACACACGTTACACACACGTTACACACACACGTTACAAACACGTACTCACACACGTTACACACACGTTACACACACGTACTCACACACGTTACACACACACGTTACTCACACACGTTACACACACACGTTACACACACGTTACACACACACGTTACACACACGTACTCACACACGTTACACACACGTTACACACACGTACTCACACACGTAATCACACACGTACTCACACACGTTACACACACGTTACTCACACACGTACTCACACACGTTACACACACGTTACACACACGTACTCACACACGTACTCACACACGTACTCACACACGTTACACACATGTACTCACACACGTTACACACACGTTACACACACGTACTCACACACGTTACACACACGCTACACACACACGCTACACACACGTTACACACACATACTCTCACACGTTACACACACGTTACACACACGTACTCACACACATTACACACACGTGTACACACACGTTACACACACGTACTCACACACGTACTCACACACGTTACACACATGTACTCACACACGTTACACACACGTTACACACACGTACTCACACACGTTACACACACGCTACACACACACGCTACACACACGTTACACACACGTACTCTCACACGTTACACACACGTTACACACACGTACTCACACACATTACACACACGTTACACACACGCTACACACACGTACTCACACACGTTACACACACGTACTCACACACGTACTCACACACATTACACACACGTTACACACACGTACTCACACACGTTACACACACGCTACACACACGCAACACACACACGACTAACCCAGTCACATTCGATCTTCTAATAAACCTGACAGCCCGCCAAGATTGTATAATCTGGATGTTAGGGTCAGCATTACATGACTGACCAGACATTCCTAACGACTCACCTTATGCTAGAACGTGCAGGTCTCTTATGGAAATTAAACTCATCTGCTGACGTATTAGCTGTGTCTGACGTCACTCGCTCTAGAGCTGCCCGCATCGCTTTCTTGGATTTTCTGACTTAAAATAGAAGCAATAGAAATTTATTCCTCACATTTATAACATAAAATAGAAGCAATAGAAATTTATGCCTGACATATATAACTTCAAATAGAAGCAATAGAAATTTATGCCTGACATTATAACTTCAAATAGAAGCAATAGAAATTTATAACATAAAATAGCAGAAACCTATGCCTGACATTTCCCAATATAATAAGCAATACAAATCTACATTTGTCACATTGATTAACATTGATTAGACGTGAAATAAATTTCTATTTTAATCCAAATACATTTTTACCAAACCTCACCTACAAAAGACTTCCCATGGTTTGTACAACGTTGACCAGAGCTAATTTAATGTCGCCCATAATGGGTATAGTCTGGTTCAAGAAAGGCCACTAAAATTAATGAACATCAAGCCAATATCCTCCCCCCCCCCCTTCCCTTTGGCTATCAGCTGTCATCAGTAGCCCGTTAGCTCAGTAGCTAAGTACCAACATTGTCTTGGGATCGTTACTGGTCGAAAACATAGACTCTACTTCATCTACCCCAGGGAACGAGATTACATAGACTCTACTTCATCTACCTCCAGGGAACGAGATTACATAGACTCTACTTCATCTACCTCCAGGGAACGAGATTACATAGACTCTACTTCATCTACCTCCAGGGAACAAAATCACCAGCGAGTGGGCGAGTCACGTGACACGTTTGTTTACCTTCCTCGTCCTCCTCGCTGTCCGTCCTGTTGTCCTGGTCCTGGTCCTGCAGCAGGTACATCTGCAGGAACTGGGCGAAGGCGCCATTGTGGCTCACCAGCTGGGGGTAGGAGCCCTGCTCGCTCACACTTCCGTTAGACAGGACCACCACGTGATCAACTTGTGGCAGCCAGTGGACGCCGTGTGTCACCAGCAGGCGAGTCTGGAACAGGTGAGTGTAGGGGTCAGGTGGGTGTAGGGGTCAGGTGAATGTAGGGGTCAGGTGAGTGTAGGGGTCAGGTGAGTGTAGGGGTCAGGTGAGTGTAGGGGTCAGGTGGGTGTAGGGGTCAGGTGAGTGTAGGGGTCAGGTGAGTGTAGGGGTCAGGTGGGTGAAGGGGTCAGTCAATGTAGGGGTCAGGTGAGTGTAGGGGTCAGGTGGGTGTAGGGGTCAGGTGAGTGTAGGGGTCTGGTGGGTGTAGGGGTCAGGTGGGTGAAGGGGTCAGTCAATGTAGGGGTCAGGTGAGTGTAGGGGTCAGGTGAGTGTAGGGGTCAGGTGAGTGTAGGGGTCAGGTGAGTGTAGGGGTCAGATGAGTGTAGGGGTCAGGTGGGTGTAGGGGTCAGGTGAGTGTAGGGGTCAGGTGGGTGTAGGGGTCAGGTGGGTGTAGGGGTCAGGTGGGTGTAGGGGTCAGGTGGGTGTAGGGGTCAGGTGGGTGTAGGGGTCAGGTGGGTGTAGGGGTCAGGTGGGTGTAGGGGTCAGGTGGGTGTAGGGGTCAGGTGAGTGTAGGAGTCAGGTGAGTGTAGGAGTCAGGTGAGTGTAGGGGTCAGGTGAGTGTAGGGGTCAGGTGAGTGTAGGGGTCAGGTGAGTGTAGGGGTTAGGTGGGTGTAGGGGTCAGGTGAGTGTAGGGGTCAGGTGGGTGTAGGGGTCAGGTGGGTGTAGGGGTCAGGTGCGTGTAGGGGTCAGGTGGGTGTAGGGGTCAGGTGGGTGTAGGGGTCAGGTGAGTGTAGGGGTAAGGTGGGTGTAGGGGTCAGGTGGGTGTAGGGGTCAGGTGGGTGTAGGGGTCAGGTTAGTGTAGGGGTCAGGTGGGTGAAGGGGTCAGTCAATGTAGGGGTCAGTCAATGTAGGGGTCAGTCAATGTAAGGGTCAGGTGGGTGTAGGGGTCAGGTGGGTGTAGGGGTCAGTCAATGTAGGGGTCAGGTGAGTGTAGGGGTCAGGTGAGTGTAGGGGTCAGGTGAGTGTAGGGGTCAGGTGAGTGTAGGGGTTAGGTGGGTGTAGGGGTCAGGTAAGTGTAGGGGTCAGGTGGGTGTAGGGGTCAGGTGGGTGTAGGGGTCAGGTGCGTGTAGGGGTCAGGTGGGTGTAGGGGTCAGGTGGGTGTAAGGGTCAGGTGGGTGTAGGGGTCAGGTGAGTGTAGGGGTCAGGTGAGTGTAGGGGTAAGGTGGGTGTAGGGGTCAGGTGGGTGTAGGGGTCAGGTGGGTGTAGGGGTCAGGTGAGTGTAGGAGTCAGGTGAGTGTAGGAGTCAGGTGAGTGTAGGGGTCAGGTGAGTGTAGGGGTCAGGTGAGTGTAGGGGTTAGGTGGGTGTAGGGGTCAGGTGAGTGTAGGGGTCAGGTGGGTGTAGGGGTCAGGTGGGTGTAGGGGTCAGGTGCGTGTAGGGGTCAGGTGGGTGTAGGGGTCAGGTGGGTGTAGGGGTCAGGTGGGTGTAGGGGTCAGGTGAGTGTAGGGGTCAGGTGAGTGTAGGGGTAAGGTGGGTGTAGGGGTCAGGTGGGTGTAGGGGTCAGGTGGGTGTAGGGGTCAGGTTAGTGTAGGGGTCAGGTGGGTGAAGGGGTCAGTCAATGTAGGGGTCAGTCAATGTAAGGGTCAGGTGGTTGTAGGGGTCAGGTGGGTGTAGGGGTCAGTCAATGTAGGGGTCAGGTGAGTGTAGGGGTCAGGTGGGTGTAGGGGTCAGGTGGGTGTAGGGGTCAGGTGAGTGTAGGGGTCAGGTGGGTGTAGGGGTCAGGTGGGTGTAGGGGTCAGGTGAATGTAGGGGTCAGGTGGGTGTAGGGGTCAGGTGGGTGTAGGGGTCAGGTGAATGTAGGGGTCAGGTGGGTGTAGGGGTCAGGTGGGTGTAGGGTTCAGGTGGGTGTAGAGGTCAGGTGGGTGTAGGGGTCAGGTGGGTGTAGGGGTCAGGTGAGTGTAGGGGTCAGGTGGGTGTAGGGGTCAGGTGGGTGTAGGGGTCAGGTGGGTGTAGGGGTCAGGTGGGTGTAGGGGTCAGGTGAGTCTAGGGGTCAGGTGGGTGTAGGGGTCAGGTGGGTGTAGGGGTCAGGTGAGTGTAGGGGTCAGGTGGGTGTAGGGGTCAGGTGGGTGTAGGGGTCAGGTGGGTGTAGGGGTCAGGTGAGTGTAGGGGTCAGGTGAGTGAAGGGGTCAGGTGAGTGTAGGGGTCAGGTGGGTGTAAGGGTCAGGTGGGTGTTGGGGTCAGGTGAGTGTAGGGGTCAGGTGTGATTTGGGGTCAGGTAAGTTTAGGGGTCAGGTAAGTTTAGGGGTCAGGTGAATGTAGGGGTCAGGTGAGTGTAGGGGTCAGGTGAGTGTAGTGGTCAGGTGATTGTACGGGTCAGGTGAGTGTAGGGGTCAGGTGAGTGTAGGGGTCAGGTGAGTGTAGGGGTCAGGTGAGTGTAGTGGTCAGGTGAGTGTAGGGGTCAGGTGAGTGTAGGGGTCAGGTGAGTGTACGGATCAGGTGAGTGTAGGGGTCAGGTGGGTGTAAGGCTCAGGTGGGTGTTGGGGTCAGGTGAATGTAGGGGTCAGGTGTGATTTGGTGTCAGGTAAGTTTAGGGGTCAGGTAAGTTTAGGGGTCAGGTGTATGTAGGGGTCAGGTGTGTGTAGGAGTCAGGTGAGTCTAGGGGTCAGGTGAGTGTAGGGGTCAGGTGAATGTAGAGGTCAGGTGAATGTAGGGGTCAGGTGTGTGTAGGGGTCAGGTGTGTGTAGGGGTCAGGTGTGTGTCGGGGTCAGGTGAGTGTAGGGGTCAGGTGAATGTAGGGGTCAGGCGAGTGTAGGGGTCAGGTGTGTGTAGGGGTCAGGTGTGTGTAGGGGTCAGGTGAGTGTAGGGGTCAGGTGAGTCTAGGGGTCAGGTGAGTGTAGGGGTCAGGTGAATGTAGAGGTCAGGTGAATGTAGGGGTCAGGTGTGTGTAGGGGTTAGGTGGGTGTAGGGGTCAGGTGGGTGAAGAGGTCAGTCAATGTAGGGGTCAGGTGGGTGTAGGGGTCAGGTGAGTGTAGGGGTCAGGTGAGTGTAGGGGTCAGGTAAATGTAGGGGTCAGGTGTGATTTGGGGTCAGGTGTGTGTAGGGGTCAGGTTTGTGTGGGGGGACAGGTGAGTGAATGGGTCAGGTAAGTGTATGGGTCAGGTATGATTTGGGGTCAGGAGTGCTATCTGTATTCTTTTGGTACGACGAGAAGACAATCTAAAACTCTCCTTAAAACAATTTAAGTCTAGAGGTCGAACAAAATGTGAACCGACCTTTTTGGCCAGGATCCCATTTTTACCTTTTGACCAGGATTCGATTTTTACCTTTTTGGCCAGTTTTTGATGTTTACCTTTTTGGCCATGATTCCATTTTTACCTTTTTATCCAGGATTCCATTTTTGCCGATGAGATTTTTGAAGATGGAACTCCCGACGTGAGCGTCGACTGCGCTGAGCGGGTCGTCGAACAGGAAGATGTCGGCGTTACTATACACGGCACGCGCCAGGTTCACGCGCTGCTTCTGCCCGCCGCTCAGGTTGATGCCCTGAAACAGAGGGCATTGTTATACCAGGGCATAGTTATGTCATATTTGTATATTAAGTTGTTTTGGGATTTTTTGGGATAAAAAAAAATCAATTTTTAGTCGATCTCCGTCTGGTCCCCAACCCCACCCAACCACCCCCACCCCCACCCACATTCTCGCCGATCTCCGTCTCGTCCCCACCCCCACCCAACCACCCCACCCCCACCCAACCACCCCACCCCCATCCCCACCCCCACCCAACCACCCCCACCCAACCACCCCCACCCAACCACCCCACCCCCACCCACCTTCTCGCCAATCTCCGTCTGGTCCCCCGCCTCTAGGATCTGCAGGTCACGCTCGAGTTCACACAGTTTGACAACCTGCCTGTAGCGCTGCCTGTGGTACCGCTGGCCGAACAGGATGTTGTCTCTCACTGTGGCGTTCTGGATCCAAGCCTGCTGGGACACGTAGGCCACCCGGCTCTAGGGGGGCAGACACAATCATGGGACACAATCATGGGACATAATCATGTGACACAATCATGGGACACGTAGGCCATCCTGCTCTAGGGGTCAGACACAATCATGGGACACAATAATGGGACACAATCAGTAGACATTATCAGTAGACACAATCAGTAGACACAATCATAGGACACAATCATGGGACACGTAGGCCACCCTGCTCTAGGGGGCCAGACACAATCAGTAGACACAATCGTGGGGCACAATCATTGGACACAATCATGGGACACAATCATAGGACACAATCATTGGACACAATCATTGGACATAATCAGTAGACACAATCAGAGGGCACAATTAGTAGACACAATAATAGGACACAATCAGTAGACACAATCATGGGACATAATCAGTAGACACAATCAGTAGACACAATCAGTAGACACAGTATGGGACACAATCATATGACGCAATCAGTAGACACAGATATGGGACACAATCAGTAGACACAATCATGGGACACAATCACACTAATTGTGTAAAAAAATAAAATTGAGAGAGTGTGTACAAGGGAACTAACCCCGGCTATTGTCACCTACCTTGACAGTGACTTGCCCCTGTATTTTCTCCATCTCCCCCAGGATGGAGAGAATGAGCGAAGACTTGCCGGAACCGACAGGGCCAACTATGGCGGTCAGCTGACCCACTGGGACCTCCAGGTTTATGCTGTGGGCAGGGTGGGTCAAAAGCGTGGGTTAAAAGTGTTTCACTCGAATGTTTAGTGTATACATATGTGTTGTGTTGTCATGTAAGCTGACTGGGTCGGCCATAATACAAGAAAAAAGCAACAGTTTAAATGTTGGCTGTAGGGAGTAGTTGTACAAATATTTTCATTTTTTACCAACTTAATTTTTTTTGGATCCAATGTCTGATTGCTATAGAATAGATTATATTGTTAACGAATAAAATAAAACAAAACAAAATCGAAAAACACACACAAACCATGACATCCCACACCCCACAACACCCACACACCACAACACCTACACACCACAACACACACACACCACAACACACACACACCACAACACCACAACTCACTTTCTGAGTGTAGGCTGAAGTTCCCTGTCCCACGTAAAAGTTCCTCTCTGAATGCTGATGGCGTGTTCTGTGGAGAAGTCGACACACACTTACATACACGTCGACACACACACTTACAGATATCTCAACACATTGGCTTTAAGACGTAAACACAGGCTATAAAACACGTCAACACACAGACTTACAGATACCTCAACACACACACTTACAGATACCTCAACACACACACTTACAGATACCTCAACACACTTGCTTTAAGACGTAAACACAGGCTATAAAACACGTAAACACACAGACTTATAGACACATTGACACGCAAACACGTCCCATGTTGTGCTAGGCTACCTACCAGAGTTATGGCCCATGTTGTGCTAGGCTACCTACCAGAGTTATGGTCCCATGTTGTGCTAGGCTACCTACCAGAGTTATGGCCCATGTTGTGCTAGGCTACCTACCAGAGTTATGGCCCATGTTGTGCTAGGCTACCTACCAGAGTTATGGCCTATGTTGTGCTAGGCTACCTACCAGAGTTATGGTCCCATGTTGTGCTAGGCTACCTACCAGAGTCATGGTCCCATGTTGTGCTAGGCTACCTACCAGAGTTATGGTCCCATGTTGTGCTAGGCTACCTACCAGAGTCATGGTCCCATGTTGTGATGGACGTGTCAAGGTCATCTGTCACCAGAAACGTGTTGATCCTCTTGATGGAGACAGACGTCTGACAGGAAGTTTGATCAACATTATTTGTTTTAGTTGGTGGCACATCTACCTCACATCTACCTCACATCTACCTCACATCTACCTCACATCTACCTCACATCTACCTCACATCTACCTCACATCTACCTCACATCTACCTCACATCTACCCCACATCTACCTCACATCTACCTCACATCTACCTCACATCTACCTCACATCTACCTCACATCTACCTCACATCTACATCACACCTAACTCACATCTACCTCACTTGATGATGATGATAATGACGTACCTGTACGGTGTAGATGATGATGGTACTGACGTAGTTGAGCGGGACTTTGAGCAGGTTGAACAAGGCCAGCGAGACGAAGGCCTTCTGTGGGTCAAGGACATTGGTCCGGTCGCTGAGCACAAATGTGGCGAACGTGAGTAGACCTACCTTCAATAAAGGTTAATGTGGCGAACGTGAGTAGACCTACCTTCAATAAAGGTTCATGTGGCGAACGTGAGTAGACCTACCTTCAATAAAGGTTAATGTGGCGAACGTGAGTAGACCTACCTTCAATAAAGGTTAATGTGGCGAACGTGAGTAGACCTACCTTCAATAAAGGTTAATGTGGCGAACGTGAGTAGACCTACCTTCAATAAAGGTTAGTTAGCTAGGTCATTAGCAATGTAGTTTAAAGTAATAAGTCATTAGATCTACATGTTAATGTTCTTAATCATTAAAAATATTTTGCAAAGTTTTAAACAGAAATAAGACTATCTATAATATAGAGGTCTTGTGATCTATAAATAGTTTATAATTACCAAAAAAAGGAGCGACCACCACCACCCCCCCCTCCCCATAGATTTTCAAATTACCAGAAACGGAGTGATTCCCCAACATAGTCCAGACATGACATACAGAAAGGCGACTTTGTAAAGCTGTGTGACCTCCATTTGACGGATGTCTTCTACTTTTTTCTTGAACTGGTCCTCCCAGGCGTACAGCTTCAGGACCTGCGAGGCGACCAAACGGACGTTTTTAAATTGTTTTGAGATCACGGTTTGGGATCAAGGTTAAAGTGGGAGTGATCTCCCCTAAACTTTCCCGAATGTTCTTGTATAACACTACGGGGGATGGCAACTGTAGATATATAGGCCTACATGATTTTTAATCAATTTTTAAATTCTTAAACTTTTAAAAATAGAATAGAATGTCTTAGAAAAAAAACATATAAATTCATGTGTTTTTTTTTGAGAAATTGGAAAAGCCCTAAGTACTACTTCCGGTAAACGGGAAGTACTCAAAATTTGACAGAAGGCAGAGAATTAGATCTTTTACTTATGTGTGAAATTTCGTTTTTCTATCTGAACAGTATTCAAGGTATCAACTTTTGAAAAACCAAAAGTAGAATAAGTTCCACTTCCGGTTTCCGGAAATCGCCGAAAAGTGGAAACAGAGTTACAATTTTGATATAAAGAAATAAATTTGAAATTTCATCAACCTAGCTGTAACGGTACTCAAGTTATCGCGTTCAGACACACACACACACACACACACACACACATATGTTCGATGTTTTGCACGATTACAATACTTTCTCTATACTTCGTATACGAGGAAATAAAAATGAGAGGGAGGGAGAGATTATTTTAGATTATAGTTGTGACACCAGAGAAGGGGGAAAACCCCACCTTAATCTCACACAAAACCTCCTTGACCATCTTGACCCCAAGAAACCCACCTTCATCCCACACAGAACCTCGTTGACCATCTTGATCCGTTCGTCCTTCCTCTTGAGGATCTGTTCTTGGATCAGCTTTTGTTTGCTGCCCACCCAGGTGTTGATGGGCACCAGTAGGACCAGCAGACCGACCCCAGTTAGGACAGAAGGACCTGTGGACGGGGATGACAATTGTCCTACAAGCCTGACATTGTCCTGTCATGTCAGTATGACAGGCTACTGGTCTGGTGTCTTACAATGTCAGTGTTTTGATTCACCTCTGTCTACCTGTTCTTATCTTGTCTACCTATGCTTACATGTCTTTCTGTATTTACATGTCTATCTCCACTTACTTCTGTATAATTACCTCTGTGTACTTGTACTTACCTCAGTCTACTTACCTCTATCTACCTGTACTTACCTCTATCTACTTGTACTTACCTCTGTCTACCTGTACTTACCTCTGTCTACCTGTACTTACCTATGCTGTAGTAGAGTAATGTCACAGCAAAAATGATCTGTACTGGTGTAGTCCAGATATACAACAGTGTGCTCAAAATATCCTAGATATAAAAGTGTAAACATGAAGCCACGGAACTAAACTCCACCAGATATACAACAGTGTGCTCAAAATATCCTGGATATAATTTAAAAGTGTAAACATGAGGCAACGGAACAAAACTCCACAAGATATACAACAGTGTGCTCAAAATATCCTGGATATAATTTAAAAGTGTAAACATGAAGCAACGGAACTAAACTCCACCAGATATACAACAGTGTGCTCAAGATATCCTGGATATAAAAGTGTAAACATGAAGCCACGGAACTAAACTCCACCTGAGCAGGACAACCTGTGGTGGAGCAGCGACTCACCTGCAGCCTCTGACAGTCGACTGACATTAGATTGACGATCTCACCAACGGTCGAACCTTTCCTGGCTGAGCTTGATATGGTCAGAGCCTGGGGAATAGACCGGATGTCGTCAGGGCCGGGGGAATAGACCGGATGTTGTCAGGGCCTGGGGAATAGACCGGATGTTGTCAGGGCCTGGGGAATAGACCGGATGTCGTCAGGGCCTGGGGAATAGACCGGATGTCGTCAGGGCGCCAGCTCCAGGCATGAGGCTAGCGATGTCTTCATATCCCAATACCAGGATTAGTTTAGGAGTTTTAGAATTTTTCTACAGATATCGTCGGTCTGGGCAGAGAAAGTGTCGGTGACCCCCAATGTTTCAGTAAGGTCGCCCTGGGTAAAGTCGTCTCAGTAAGGTCGTAAGAAAGTTCAATAAGATCTACGTCTGGCATCAGAGACTGACCTTTCTATAAATAGCCCCCACCAGCACAGTTTTCACGTGCATTCCCAGAATGCAGCTCCTGTACATAGATTGTGAGAAGAAAAAAGACTTCCCTGTCCCTGCCAAAAACAGCGCAAAACTGACCACATAGGCCTGCCATACTTTCTCTGGCCCCTGCAGCAGATCAATCAAAATCCTGGCCACGTTCATGGGTGGAAGAAAAATTAAAAACAAATTCAAACTTTGACGTGAATATTCTTTTAGGTATTGGATACTAGAAATAAAGTCACGCTGACAAAAATAGACTATTATTTAGAGCTAGTGAGAGCCAGATAGAGGCAGCAGTCAGCACATACCCCAAGAGAAACGTAGCAGTCAACACATACCCCAAGAGAAACGTAGCAGTCAGCACATACCCCAAAAGAAACGTAGCAGTCAGCACATACCCCAAGAGAAACGTAGCAGTCAGCACATACCCCAAGAGAAACATAGCAGTCAGCACATACCCCAAAAGAAACGTAGCAGTCAGCACATACCCCAAGAGAAACGTAGCAGTCAGCACATACCCCAAGAGAAACATAGCAGTCAGCACATACCCCAAGAGAAACGTAGCAGTCAGCACATACCCCAAGAGAAACATAGCAGTCAGCACATACCCCAAGAGAAACGGGCCTAGATAAAGGCAGCAGTCAGCACACAACTTCTGGACAATGGCCATCAGAGCGTTCTTCCACACCAGCCTGAGCAGCACGCGGGTCAAGCTTGGTCGTGTCAGCTCCACGTCCATAGGTGGCACCTGTGGTCAAGGGAATGGGGGCACTTTCAGCTCCGTAGTCAAGGGGGAATGTATGGTATTTTAAGCTCTACAGTCAGGGGACTGAGGGTAGTTTAAGCTCTGTAGTTGAAGGACTGGGGCACTAAGCTCTAAAGTCAGGGGACTGAGGGTAGTTTAAGCTCTGTAGTTAAGGGAATTTGGCAGTAAGGGGAGGGGATATGAGGCACTTTAAGCTTATAGTCTGCAGTAAAATGGAATATGGACCACCGAAGCATTTCCATGGGGTAGTGGGAAACGTCAAAACTCGTCACTGTAACTACTTTGGTATTTGGTCATCAATCAGATGAAACCTGACCTCAGCTCCAGTGATCGAATCAGGGGACAGAAGCAGAGAAGTCCTCTCACTAGTGCTGCTGTAGTGGGCAGGGAGGGACAGGCTAGCTCTAGACCGTCTGAGTTGTCCGCCCTTCTTCTCACTGGATGGAAGAGTGTTGTACATTAACGGTAAGTGATTTAAACATTGGCGATTAGGTTTTTGTTTTAATGATATATCTTGTCCATTGCTGGTGCTAGCTTTAAATGCACCAACAGCCTGCATGTGAAGTGGTGTGTGTTGACTGATGCTAAACTCATACATCCGTTCTTATTATAGTTTCCTACGGCATTGTGTTGTGTTGATCAAGTCTCTCCACCCCCCCCCACCTACCCAGGGAAATGGATACGGTTGATTGATTCCACTCTCTCCTGCTCCTGGCGCCAAAACTTGTCGTACAACAGGTTCAGACGACAACTCTGGTCACGTGGGTTCAGGCTCCAGATGTCGTCTGCTTGTATTTCCCTCTTGAAGCCAGTCACCATCAGCCTGTAAATACAACATGATGTCACCATCAGCCTGTAAATATAACAGTGTGTCACCATCAGCCTGTAAATACAACAGTGTGTCACCATCAGCCTGTAAATATAACAGTGTGTCACCATCAACCTGTAAATATAACAGTGTGTCACCATCAGCCTGTAAATACAACAGTGTGTCACCATCAGCCTGTAAATATAACAGTGTGTCACCATCAACCTGTAAATATAACAGTGTGTCACCATCAGCCTGTAAATACAACAGTGTGTCACCATCAGCCTGTAAATATAACAGTGTGTCACCATCAACCTGTAAATATAACACTGTGTCACCATCAGCCTGTAAATATAACAGTGTGTCACCATCAACCTGTAAATATAACATTGTGTCACCATCAGCCTGTAAATATAACAGTGTGTCACCATCAGCCTGTAAATACAACAGTGTGTCACCATCAGCCTGTAAATATAACAGTGTGTCACCATCAACCTGTAAATATAACAGTGTGTCACCATCAGCCTGTAAATACAACAGTGTGTCACCATCAGCCTGTAAATATAACAGTGTGTCACCATCAACCTGTAAATATAACAGTGTGTCACCATCAGCCTGTAAATACAACAGTGTGTCACCATCAGCCTGTAAATATAACAGTGTGTCACCATCAACCTGTAAATATAACACTGTGTCACCATCAGCCTGTAAATATAACAGTGTGTCACCATCAACCTGTAAATATAACATTGTGTCACCATCAGCCTGTAAATATAACAGTGTGTCACCATCAGCCTGTAAATATAACACTGTGTCACCATCAGCCTGTAAATATAACAGTGTGTCACCATCAGCCTGTAAATATAACATTGTGTCACCATCAGCCTGTAAATATAACATCGTGTCACCATCAGCCTGTAAATAAATTATTGTTTACATTGTATCACCAGCAGAGGCGTAGCGACCATTCCCGGCGCCCGGGGACAAACATTGAATTTGGCGCCCCCTCGGGAGCAACCTATAAATTTTCAATTTGCACCCCCCCCCCCTCAAACTTTCGATTTGCACCAATTTTGACGCTCCTAAGGTCGGCGCCCGGGGACATATGTACCCCCCCCCCCCGCCCCGCTCCCCCCCCCCCTCTATGACTCTGATCACCAGCAGTGTGTCACCTGTATGACAGATCAAGCCTAGTACGCTTGTTTTTTTTTTTTTTGTTTTTTGTTTTTTTTTTTACATTTAGCTTGTTGTGCTACCATAATTCAGGTTTAGGGGGATCCAAAAATTAGTCTTATTTAGTGGGGCATGTAACCTACGCTGGTTTGATTGGTTGTGTCACACTTACTTCATCATCCAGAAAAATAAAATCTTGGACGGATACGATGCTGTCACTTCTGGACAGGGGTTCTGTAAGAAATTTAATGAAATAATTTATTAAAAGTAAAAATTTTATGACGAAAAATTGTCAGTTCTAATACAAAAAAAATAACATCATGTTAAGTCTTCCATAGTGTTTTTACAAGAATTTAAAATCAACAAATCTGATTAAAAAAGAGAAAAGTTTACGAAAAAAAAAAAAAAACAATAACCTACAGATCCCATTTGTGTGTTGTCTCCCTTCTTAGTGTCAACCAAATTGTCGGAAAAAAACGACAACCCAAAGCAGAACAGGTTCAATAACTCTTGGACAACGAGAATACTGAACTCTCCTTGGTTGCTCATGTAACCCTTGGAAATATTTTATGTAGTTATGTCATTCGTTGTTGTTTTTTAAGTCTTCCAGGATTAATATAAAGATTACAATTTTATAACATATTTTCATATTACAAATGTTAGTCCTAAAAAACTAATATGTAATTAAAGACGGTAATGATAAAAATATTCACTTAGAACAAATGCTACATTAATAAAAATTGCATGTTTAACAGTTTGTTTACATGGTCGTTTACCTCGGTCAGAATCCAAGTATAGCAAGGGACTATACCCAGGAGAAAATTCATTCCGTAAAAATAAAATGACATAAACATTGGATAGCGTCCCTTGTATCTTTCGTACCACAACTGAAAAACGACTAGTGCCTGAAAAATAAAACCACACTACTCAATCCATCCCCATTTTTAGCAACGACTTTCTTTATTTACACCTTAATAGGTACACATGTCTACTATAAAATACTGCAACACCAAAAACTATACGAAATACGAATAAAGAACGTACGTATGTGAGTAGATAAAGAGTTGAGGCAACTAGCTGTGAAGCTTGACGTGAGTGGACAATGTCCACTAGAAGTTGGCTCAAGGACAGCAGGGCCAGCAGTGATGTGGAGATCTGCAACAAATACACCGAGTGCATTAGGCGGTCGTGCACATACACAGCAAATAAATCATACACATTCAATGATCGTAAACTTATGCAACAAATACATCTTACACATTCAATGATCGTAAACTTATGCAACAAATACATCTTACACATTCAATGATCGTAAACTTATGCAACAAATACATCTTACACATTCAATGATCGTAAACTTATGCAACAAATAAATCTTACACATTCAATGATCGTAAACTTATGCAACAAATAAATCTTACGCATTCAAGGACCGTAAACTTATGCAACAAATAAATCTTACACATTCAAGGACCGTAAACTTATGCAACAAATAAATCTTACGCATTCAAGGATCGTAAACTTATGCAACAAATAAATCTTACACATTCAATGATCGTAAACTTATGCAACAAATACATCTTACACATTCAATGATCGTAAACTTATGCAACAAATACATCTTACACATTCAATGATCGTAAACTTATGCAACAAATAAATCTTACACATTCAATGATCGTAAACTTATGCAACAAATAAATCTTACGCATTCAAGGACCGTAAACTTATGCAACAAATAAATCTTACACATTCAAGGACCGTAAACTTATGCAACAAATAAATCTTACGCATTCAAGGATCGTAAACTTATGCAACAAATAAATCTTACACATTCAATGATCGTAAACTTATGCAACAAATAAATCTTACGCATTCAAGGACCGTAAACTTATGCAACAAATAAATCTTACACATTCAAGGACCGTAAACTTATGCAACAAATAAATCTTACGCATTCAAGGATCGTAAACTTATGCAACAAATAAATCTTACATATTCAAGGATCGTAAACTTATGCAACAAATAAATCTTACATATTTAAGGACCGTAAACTTATGCAACAAATAAATCTTACATATTCAAGGATCGTAAACGTATGCAACAAATAAATCTTACATATTCAAGGATCGTAAACTTATGCAACAAATAAATCTTACGCATTCAAGGATCGTAAACTTATGCAACAAATAAACCTTAAGCATTCAAGGATCCTACCCATTGCACATACACAACTACAAATAAATTTTTCGCAGTCAGGGATGGTGCACATAAAGGCCTACAACAACAATAAAATCTAAACATTAGGGGATTTCACACATTTAAAACTGTTTTGAAAGGGGGTGGGGGTGTCTTGATTTTCAAAATATGATATAGGGTTGATCGTCTACAAAATAGTTTTATAATATTGTATGCTGTAAGGTGTGAGTTCCTTTAAGTGTTTTATAACAATAGCTAGACCCCTCAAACTGAGGTTAAGATTAACACGAAAACGGTTAGATGTGATGTTCTTGGTTAAGCGTTAAATAAGTTTCTGTATATGGTCACGTTACCATCTTAGTAGCACATAGCGTAGAGAGGTAGAAAACAGGTTTTTCCTCGTTGGGGTGGTTCGTTTTGTGTGAACCCGACTTGTGATGGTTCGTGGTGTGAGAACCCGACTTGTGATGGTAGCCATGATGGTTGCCGTTCGCAACAGAGGCTTTGCTGGTCACTGCGGATAGTTTGTTGGATGTTGCGTGGTTGGGTGTGCTGGAGCCTGTTTGTTGGCTGCTGCGTCTTGCGGTGTTCAGGCTGTTGGTGCTGTATTGGTTGTTGACGTCGTAGAGGAAGTAGGGCAGCAACAACCACACGTAGCCACACGGGACCCACACGAGAATGGTGTGGATAAAGCAGTCAGTAAACTGAGGCCACGGACCGTCCAGTAGTAGCGTCAAGTTCTGTGGAAGACAGGTAGGCTTAAACTCTCACCAATCTGATGCAAATATCTAAGGCTGTGTCTGGATGTTTTAAATCAATGCATATATCTTAAGTTCGGTCTCTGCTTGTTGACAAATTGCCTTTATATAATAAATATTAAATTCTTTTGTTTACATACACTGCTGATTCTTATACCCCCCTTCACCCCAATCATCTCGGGTTTCTATAGCTAGATAAATATAATTTTTAATGAAATTCATCAGTCTTTGGTGGAAATTAATCGTTTTACCCATTCCCCCTCCTCTCCCCCCACTCCCCGCCAAAAAAACCCCACCAAATATTTATCTTACCATAAATGGTCCCCCACAAAATTGATCAAATCCACTGACGTCCATCTTGGAATCTATATAAAAACAAAAGTGTCCCGTGCACCGAAATACTGGACCTCTCCTGAGTCCGCTCCCAACTGACGGAGCGTGACGTGTGCACGGTGCCCGGGCTCCTGTCCCGTGATGCTGCATCGTTCCGGTTCATTAAAGTGTTATAGCCAGTGTTGAAACCAAGTTATATTTTATAACCTTTGACCCAGGTCAGGACAACTATGTCCAGTCATTGTGTGGCCAGATCAAGATTCTAGAAACATGGAAGTACACAACAGAAGTGGGTTTAAGACCTATGAAATACATGCAATGTTGATGTAAAAGGTTTTAAAAATATATAGCTTGTTTATGAAAACATCTGAGTTGGGGGGGGGGGGGGCGTGCGGGTGACCACGAGTTGTTTAAAGGTGATTATCTTCTTAGTGTGTGACGTATGTAAGTTAGAGATCGTCAGTTGTGGGGGAGGGGGGGGGGGCGTACGGGTGACCACGAGTTGTTTAAAGGTGATTATCTTCTTAGTGTGTGACGTATGTAAGTTAGAGATCGTCAGTTGTGGGGACGTCTGTAACAAGAATCAGATAAATGGGAGAATGTGTGTGTGTGTGTGGGGGGCTAATAGTTCCTTGCAACAGTATGAGAGATGGTATTACTAGTAGACTTTGGAAGGTAGAACATTATTTATTCACCAGTGGCCTACGACTTTGGGTCATCTGAAAGTTTTGAGCCCCATCTCTAAGTTTGTTTCACTCACCCCACCCCACGGTTTACAGTAATCCTGGCCTAGTCCGTCTATCCCCCCTCCCCCAAAGCCAGTCAGGTACTCGCTGGACACTGTTGGATGGTATCATGAAGGGCAACTATGTGTACAACAAACACAATTAGGTCAACAACAACCAACACACTATAACAAACACAATTAGGTCAACAACAACCAACACACTATAACAAACACAATTAGGTCAACAACAACCAACACACTATAACAAACACAATTAGGTCAACAACAACCAACACACTATAACAAACACAATTAGGTCAACAACAACCAACACACTATAACAAACACAATTAGGTCAACAACAACCAACACACTATAACAAACACAATTAGGCCAACAACAACCAACACACTATAACAAACACAATTAGGTCACCACCAACCAACACTACAACAAACACAATTAGGCCAACAACAACCAACACACTATAACAAACACAATTAGGTCAACAACAACCAACACACTATAACAAACACAATTAGGTCAACAACAACCAACACACTATAACAAACACAATTAGGTCAACAACAACCAACACACTATAACAAACACAATTAGGTCAACAACAACCAACACACCATAACAAACACAATTAGGTCAACAACAACCAACACACTATAACAAACACAATTAGGTCAACAACAACCAACACACTATAACAAACACAATTAGGTCAACAACAACCAACACACTATAACAAACACAATTAGGCCAACAACAACCAACACACTATAACAAACACAATTAGGTCAACAACAACCAACACACTACAGCAAACACAATTAGGTCACCACCAACACACACACACTACAACAAACACAATTAGGTCACCACCAATCAACACTACAACAAACACAATTAGGTCACCACCAATCAACACTACAACAAACACAATTAGGTCACCACCAATCAATAACATCAAGTCACACATTATATTTAGAGTTTCTTAAAAGTAGTTTTATTTTTTGAATAGATTTGTACCTAACCTGGTCAAATACTGAACAAAAGAAAACAGCAGACTCATCAATAATGATAGTATAGTACTGGAGTAACATAATACAGGGCCTCGGGATGGGTCCAGTCAAATGGTGGAAACAAATGTATGACACTGACACATGGCATGTCTGTCACTGACACATAGCATGCCTGTCACTGACACAAGGGACATCTGTCATTGACACAAGGGAAGTCTGTCACAGACTCACAGGACGTCTGTCATTGACACACGGGATGTCTGTCACTGACATGGGATGTCTGTCATTGACACATGGCATGTCTGTCACTGACACAAGGGACATCTGTCACTGACACAAGGGACGTCTGTCACTGACACAAGGGACATCTGTCACTGACATGTCTTATATCCACTAGGTGGTCAGCAGTCTCACCTCTTTAAGGACATGTAAAATTGGCCCACATGAGATAGAAAAAAAGGACACAGATTGTCCCAGCCTAAAAATTGTTAGACCTACAACAGTCAGCCACAGCTGATTAAAAGCTCAGGATTGTCAAGTCCTGGCCTGGTAAAATAAACTATTGTACCAAGTCAAACAAATAGAGGGCTTGCATTGATTTTGAGGATAGTGTGACACTCAAACTTGTAGCATCAGCCAGAGGAAGATGGAGAGCCATGTTTGTTGTGAGAGCTCAGCTGATGTAGAGCTCAAATGTAAACATCGCTAGGTCAAGGTTGTTTAGTGAGGCTACTCATGCACCAGTTTCTGTCATAGTGTGACAGCATTAGCTGACATTGAATCAACAATGGGAGGGGTCATCAGATGGGCAAGGTTGACCAGAGGACAACAAGTTATCACATGGACACTAGCAGTTTGACTGACAATAAAATTAGCAGCAGTTAGGTTAAAACACACCTCTAGACATCTTTACAAGGGCAGAAAATAAACAATGTCCAATTACACAATATTCCAATTACACAATATTCCAACTTCACAATGTTCAATTACACACTGTTCAATTACAGTGTTCATATTACACAATGCTCCAATTTCACAATGTTCCTATTACACTATGTTCCAATTACACAATGTTTAATTACACAATGTTCAATTTCATATTATTTAAAAAATTCATTAACTAAAACAACTGAGGATGCTAAATTTGACAAAAGAAGTTAACCCCCCCCCCCCCCCACTTCATTACAACTAAGCTTTATTTTAAAACTGAATATTTTTATGACTATCAGACACCAGTATTAGCAAACAAGTCCCAGTAACATGGGGACTTAAATAAGTTACTCATTTCATTCACGACCAGGTTCTTTTCTTGCCAGCACTCAAGCAGCCAGTAGTGCTAACAACAAGAGCTTATAAAATGTACAGCTTTACTAGAGTCAAACATCAAGTTTGGAGCTGACAAAATTAGACAAGTTACAGTCAAGTACATTGATACAGACTCAATGAACAGAGAAAAAAAAAACGCTTACATTTCTTCTTAAAGACTGAGAGACGCTATCTTAGATTTCTTCTTATTGACTGAGAGAAGCTATCTTAGATTTCTTCTTATTGACTGACAGAAGCTATCTTAGATTTCTTACTAGACTCATAGAACCTGTCTTAGACACATGAAGTAAAATAAAGCAACATTATTTCAAGCCAAAGTTTGAACAGAATGTGTGACAGCACGCAGCCATCCAGTGAAGCAGCCAGACAGCTCTCTCACGTGTCGTAGTCGTCTGTGTCTCCCGCTGTTGTTGCCATGGCACGCGACTGGTAGGAAAGGTTGATGGGCTGCTGCTGCACGCTGTCTTGGGGCTGCTCCAGGTGGCCAGGGTGCTGGTGGCCAGGGTGGGGGACTGATGAAGGCACCAGGGGCGGATATGTGTTTGGGAAGGGGGGCACAAGCGGGTAGTTGCTGGCTCCCAGAGTAGCAGGTGGAACGTATGAAGGGTAGGGGAAGGCTGGCACAGGGGGAGGGTAGAGCTGCTGTTTGAACTGCTGGTGTGGTAGCAGCTGCTGCTGTTGCTTGTGTAAACTGGCTAATGCTGGGCTGATCAAAGGGTGGGGGTAGCTGAAACAACACAGCACAGCTAGCATTGTCAACAAGTAACACTATTTCAAATAGCTAAAAGATAAACAGTTCTTCAGATTAGACATTAATATATTATCTAGATTTAAATCAGGAAATTGTAGATCTAAATGTCTATTCTTAAGGAGTACAAAGTTGAAAGCATCTTTTTATTGGATTTTTGTTTGATCGACTAAACTAATAGGGTTGTTTTTATAACTTACAGTTTTTCAAAGCACCACAAAACAAATACTTTAATGTATTTATAAAAAAATGTCTCATCTCTGTTTACTGCTATACAACACAACCTTTCAGCACAAGCCCTTTAGCCTTTGACCTCTGAGAAATAAAACTACCCACAAAAGCCCTTGACCTCTGAGATACACCACTACCCATACAAACCCCCTAAATCATGGCCCCTTCCAGTAAAACTGACATAGAATAATGTGCCTGTTCAAAGTTTAAGAAAAACACCAGAAAAAAAAATCTCACCCAGAATTTAAATTGTGCAAGACAGAATTGTTCACCAACTGATCAGAGCCTAAAAATGAAAAGAAAATAATGTTAACATTTGGTAATGTAAACTTATTGATGAAATCTGCCTAAAAACTTGCCAGAAATTATTACCTGAAGAGGTAGCTGGCATTTCAGATTTTAACCTATCATTTGAGTGTCCAAATGCTGCCTGGGCAGAAGCACTTTCTTCATCTGTCTCTGTATCTTCATCATCTTCCTCCTCATCTTCCTGTAAAACATGCATGAGAATTAAAATGCTGGTTTACTATATTGTGAGGATGTAATAACATTACAGATGTGCACTAAGGTTGTGGCAGAATTTTTAAGCAAATCAACACTGTGACAAGCTCTGTAATTACTGACCTCCGTATCAGACGTTGTTTTTGATGATTCCCCTGTTTGTTTGCTTTTACAGGAGTCTTTTGTTTTTCTGGGCCTGCAGACAAGTATGAAAGTTACTTGACTTGGTCTACCATTAAGTGCTTCAAAGTGTTATGTGTACATTGTACCTTCAACACAGATCTATTGTAGGACTAAACACTAAGCAAATAGAGAGATCAAATACAGACCGGCCTCGTCCTTTCTTTATGCTCATATCTCCATCACTGGCAGCAGTTTCGCAATTGTCTTCTGCTTGGTAATCTGATACATTGGCAACAACGTCTCGAAGAAAATCAAACTGCTTATTTGAATGTATTGTATGTTTTCTGGAAAAAAAAAAGAATCTTTTCTTATGTACTGCCACCTTTCTAAAAGCAAATTTCTAATACACTGGATAGTGATATTATTACAAAATGTTAAAAAATATCCTAATAAATTTTATTGTATTGTTTGTTTACTGCAATCAGTTCTAAAACAAGCTTTAAAAAAAAAAACCAAGCTAAACAAAGGAGTATCTATCATTTTAATATAACTAGTAACATATCAAAGCATATTGCCTTAGCATGAATTCAGTTATGTCCCTTTAGATAATCATTTTAAGACAAGGTTTCTTCCAAGATGCAAAGCACACATCTTTAATACAGAATCCACCCAGTTTCAAACACTGAATAACATGAATAGGGAGGGCTATTTCATTTGGTCATAGTAATGTTATACAGACAAAATTATTGAAAGTAAAATTTAAAAATTAACATAAATTTTAAAATCCCGTAAAAACATTGATCAACATTGAATGTAATGATAAAATTTTTAAAAAGAGATTCCACTCTAAAAGGTTCACAACAAAAGATTTGATGATTCTTACATGTGGGAAGTAGAAAGGGTCTTTGCATTTTTTGCTATTGTTGTTTTAGATGTTTCTAAAATAAGAGATTCAATAAACATTTCCAATGCTCGTGCTGTATACTAGTCAAGGAAAATAAAATTTTCATAAAACAAGAAAAGTATCTACCCATCATGTCTGAATCTATTTAATAAACATAAATCTAACTTAACTATAAATAAACTACTGGTTGTAAAAATCTAATGGACCATCCTTTAATGATCTCAAGGGGGAGGGGGGAGGAGGGGGGAAAGGAGTGGAGAGTGGATGATGCCTATTGCTATCAAGTATAATGGTATTAAAGAGAAAAATATTCCTAAATTGTTGGTGATGAAAATCTATTGGGCAAATATTAAAAACAAGACAAAGCTAAAGCCCTCTTTTTAAAGGATACAGATAATAACAGGAACTGCTGCAGCAACTTTTCCAACATCCTCATCTGTTTGCATAATTTTCTTTATTCTGGCCTACAGAAATAAAGTACAAAAATTAATTCAATAGAAGCAACCTAAATTTAAATAATTTTTTACAAGGCTTGTTGTACAATAATGTAGTAGAATTTTACAAATTGAAATCAACAGAAAATGTAAACAACAAACAGCCAAAAAGGTGTTAATCCAGATTTTTTGTTGTTGTTTATTGTCTATTGTTTTATATAATTATAATGGGTCAGTGTGACTAAATTAAAAAAAGATTTCTTACCAAGTACCACTTGTTGATTTTTCAAAGCAAATAAACTTACTTTAAAACTGTACACTTTACACATTTTTTATTAGGAACAACCATGAAAATAAGGAGTTCTTAAATTCATACTAACTGTAAAGCTTTAACTTTCCGCACAAGAAAGGACAGATTTTCTTAGCAACAAAAAGGTTCAACCATTTTAAACAGAGATGGTACTAGCATTAATACCTCTAGTCTTGTATAATCAAAATAACAAGATTTAGTAAGAGTGCTAATTAATCCCATATAACAGACTAAACAAAAAACAAAGAAATCAGAGCATCCATTGTTTAAGAGAATAATGCCATCTGAAATCATGTATTTTACTTTTTTTGTACTTAGGCCTATCTAAAATACTGGTCTCTCCAATTTAACTATTAACCTATTTATGGTGCCTAGGATAGATATTTATGTCAACGGCAAATATAGTAATTGTACCAGCAAATATAGTGATTGTACCGTAATAATGAAAACTATCAGTAAAATAATATAATTTCACCCATGGGAGGGTCTGAGCCACTTCTCTACTGAGAGTATGTAAATGTAGAGTAGAATCTGCACAAGCCAGCCAAAACTTGCCAAAAGGAAGAGAGAGATTGTGTTAATTACTGGCCCTTTAATTCCCTCAGCGACGGACTTGTCCCATAAGCCTTTTGGTCTTGAAGATTGGTTACTATCTCAACTCCACCCCGACTGCAGTCTAACGGCTGGGTCAGAGGTCAAGCACCGTGGTATGCAGCTGACAAGAGGTGGGGGGAGAATTTGCCCAAAATGGTGGTGGATGGTTTTACTGTCATAAATTTCATTTTTAATTTACTTTAGTATAGTTACAAGTTACACAATTTACAACATAGGATCTTTACAAAAATGAATCGGAGACTGTAGAACTATTAGGGTTATCAGTCTATGAAAAAAAAAAATCAAATATTGCATACCATTTTTTTTTATAAAACATTACATTTGAATGACAACCAAATTTATTTATTTTTTAAAAATTACGTGACCGCTATTTGGTGATCACTAGTGAGGAATTCTGGCGCATAGCCAATTAAAAAGTCAAACCGGATTTGTGGTTTGCATTTGCCTCCAACGTAAGAGTGATATAACATGTGTTGTCATGGAGAGGTGTGTCGTGCATGGCAGTGAGTGACAATAAATATTAAATTAAGTAATTTAGTTTAAAACGAACTAAAAACTTAAAAAAATTAGTGCCTAATGGATTAAATATGGGTGTCTATCATTCAGTGGTCATGTTTAAATTGAAAATTGAGTAAATTTTAGATTTAGTGAGAAAATCTACATTAACTAGGCTATTTATTTATGTAGGCTACTTAACCAAATAAAAAAATATTGAGTGTCTAGTTAGTTAGAGCTAAAGAAAATGTAGTTTTCATTGGTAGGCCCTTTTTAAAAATTTCAAAATTTAGGCCTAGGCCTAATTATTAATATTATTTTTAGTAGCCTAAACTGGCCTAAAGTTAGACTGTCGCATGACCTACATATTTTTACCGTCGTCACGGTAATGATGGATGCGGAAAACGTTGACACTGTAATTCCGTTTTTTTAACAATGTTTCATGGTCATTTCAGAAATATATACTTAAAATTGTTATTTTTGCGTATTATTCTAGTTTTAACAATGGAAGATTAGTAATTGATGCAAACTTGCCATTGTACTTGTTTTTATCTAATCGCTGAGAATATCGAGCATAACATAATTAAAGTAAGCAAAATGTGAATTGCTTTATTTAATATTGTTCTAACCATACTGAAAATATATTCTAAACTATAGTCACTATAGAAAAATTATAACTTGCTTTCTATTAAAGCTAATGTCATTAATATTTTAAAATTATGCAGGGTAAAAACAAAACCTAGAAAAATAACTTGATTGAGACAACAGCTAACTAAGCCTGCCCATTTTACCCGCCCTGTACTTGGATGGGGAGAAATCTAGCAGACAACACATTTCTGCCAAACGGCGGTGAACGGTCAATCTCGTCACAACAAAACTCCTTAAAAAACTAACCCACCATATCACTGAAAATTGGTCATATCATCGCAGCCATTTAAAAACAAATCCGAAATCATTTTCTAGCTTACCGATTAAATTTGATAGGCCCCCTAAATAAAATTTATATCAAATTAAAGGTAAACAAATGCAGTTTTTTTTATTGTTTAAGTCATCTTGAACAATAATGAAGTTTGAAATCTCAGGCAACACCCTACCTAAAGTCTTACGTAACCTCAACTTGTTAGATTTAGATTTTAGTTTTTAGATAATGTTGATTTAGATCCAGTGGCAATTAACAATTGTTTAAGACAAGAAGGGTGAAGAAGTGAAGAAGACATAAGAGTTCATAAGACAAGTACATGAAAATATATACCGGTGGAAAACGAGCATTATATTTCTTTTTCTTTGATGTCCTTGATGGAGATTTCGGCATTTTTCCTGTGTTGCTAATTCTAAAAACAAATAAAAACAGCAGGAGACCTGTTACGTTAGGTTAGAATAAATCTGGATCAAGAATCTGGTAGGAAAAGCAGTTTTAACAGATACGGAAGCGTAAACGATTATAAACATGGACTAGATCTAGTTTCTTTACGAAAATAAGTTTTGAATTTCAAAAATGTATTTTAAAGTATTTATCATGGTAAAATTACTACGTACTTTAAAAAAGTAATTATCTTTAAAATAAAAAATTATAGATCTATAAAATCATAAAAGAAATCGTGTTTTTTTTTCTTTTTCTAAAATTATGCTTTACCAGCATTAATTTGTACAGACCTGTACCAAGGGAAATCACTATTATTTTTAAAGATCTGAAACGAACTGTGTGATAGATCTAGCTAGATCTAGATCTAGGCCTAATCGCATTCAATTTAATAATGTCTCTGCCCGAGAAATGTATTGGCCTGAGAGAAAATGTCAATAAAGTGAGTGAACAGTGAGAATGAGACTTATTTATTTAATATTATTGAACTTATTCTAAAGTAGTCTAGCATTAGAATTAGTAGTGGTAATCTATCGTTTTAGGTACGTAAAATCGCCCGCGACTAGTAATGTGAAAAACAGGTGACTCCTTACATTTTAATAATTATTTCACATTTTGAGGAGGATTTATGTTTTGAAAAATACAAAAATGTTTCCTTGTTTCATTTATCTACCTGTTTTTAAACAGTTGAATTAAAACTTTTGAGTAATCAATGAACACCAGCGATGTTTCCAACAGATGCAACCATGCTCATTTACTATAGCAGCCATCTTGTTAAAGTTTTATTTTTATAGACTTATAGCGCGAGATTTAGGCGGAAGTCACTCTATTTTACAAATGGCTACTGTTTATATAGCAAATCTTGCTTGCAGACACTGCTGTTTAAAGTTAATTTCTGGCCTATATTGATATTCCCAGCCGGTTGGGAATAGCCGTATTAGGGCTATTCACAGCTGACTGGGAATAGCCCTAATACGGCTATTCACAGTCGTGACCGGATATCCGGTCACAGTCGAGAACAGAATTCTGGTTCAATCCGGTTTTCTCCCTATAAACATGGAGCTGCATTTCAAATTCGATCACTTGCCTATCTTACATTGTTTCGCTCGTGTTTCAAATAAATCTACTCTCGATCTCGATCTGTTTTTCAACATGGATGGCCTTGCATTTGATACTTTTGATCAATTCCAGGCTCACGTTAAGAAGCACGAGGTGGAAAACCATGTACTTTTTGTTACTGGTAGCTCAAAAAAGGTACGTATGTCTCTAATAGTATAGTTATAGTAATAGATCTAGAATCTAGTAATAGTATTAATAGATCTAGATTCTAGATCTAGTCTATAAATATACGTAGATCCAGATCTTTAGTAGTCTAGATTAGCTATATCGTAATAAGACTTTAGTCTCTCTAGTTTAGTAGGTCTAGATCTAGTATTGTGTATTTTAAACCTGAAGTAACGTAAATTTTCTTACTAAATCTAAATTATACTTAATTTTCTGACCACTGAATGATAGACATCCATGATCCATATTTAATTTAATCCATAAGGGACTAATTTTGAAGTTTTTATAAGCTAAATAAAAATTATTTCATTTAATATTTATTGGCAATCACTGCCATGCATGACACACCTGTCCATGACACTAGTGATCGCCAAATAGCATTAACGTGGTTTAAAAAAATTCTATGTGGTTGATATTTAAAATTCTATTATTTTTAATTACACCAACTTTTCAATTTATCCTTCATTCTCCACTAACAATTTCTTTCTTTTTTGCAGCTTACCACAGGGCATCCAGCTCTAGAGACGATTAAATATGAGTGGATCAAGCTGGTCTGCAAGCAAGGGAAGGCAACAAAAAAGCCAGCCAGCAATGGTGCACGTCCCAATCAGAGGTATAGTTCTGATATTGTTTACTTTAGCAATGTTATGTGTAAATTTGTATCTTTCTACTTTTGTTCTAATATTTGTTCAGTTTAGCACCATGTTATGTTTTTTTGGTATGTCTGGTTACTCTTTAATGAAGTGAATAATTTTTTTTATAGGTCATGGAAAAATGACTGTGGTGCCATGATCCGTGCAGTTATAAAATACAGAGCAGATCGCTACGAGCTTGTCATAACATAGACTATATTGGACCATGGCAACCATCCCACAGATCATCTGGTAAGATTTGTGCTTATCATTAGCAATTCATCTTTAATTGATAAGTAGTAGGTCTATATGCTTTTTGGGTCAAGAATATATAGACCTATGCATACTTTAACATATACAGTAAATTATTTTAACTTTCTCGTCTGTACCAGACTGCCCTTGTGTATCCGGAGAACAGGAGGATACAGTCAGATGATACTGTGGACACTATGGTCCAGACAAAAATTCCGGCTGCTGAGCTGAGACAGATCATTGGAGCTAAGCAAAACCGCTGTGTTCTGCCAAAAGATGTTGCAAACTACAGAAAAAAGTTTAAGGAGAACGGCAGTGATGTGGAATCAGTTGAAAGGATTTTGAATGAGATAAGGGCAGCGGGAGGAGTTGTTAAGTATGGCATTAAGGACAACAATGAGTTCATGTTTGTATCTTTTATGACTGTTGAGATGATTGATTTATTGAAAGCTAATAGTACTATTTTGATTGTTGATTGTACGTATAAGGTGAATGAATATTTGTATCCGTTGTTGAATGTGATTTGTATTGATGCAAATGGTAATGGTGTGCCTGTTTTGCATGCTTTTGTGAGGAGTGAGAATGTGGAGATTTTGTCTGAATGTTTGAGTGTTTTGCATGATGTGTGTGAGAGTACTGAGATTTTTTATGTAGATAAGGATTTTAGTGAAATTGGTGCCATCCGTAAAAATTTTCCAAATTCATTTATTCGTATGTGCACTTTCCACACTATGTCGGCTGTCAAAAAATATTTATTTTCCAATGTTTCTAAGGATGCTGCCACCAAAATTCTTGCCCTTTTCAAGCAACCAACACATACACTCAGTGAACACATTTTTAATTCATTAGAGACAGACATCATTTCTGCATGCCCCGATGTCCAAGCCTACTTTGAGACCAACTGGTGGTCCATATCTGAAATGTGGGCGGCATGCAGAAACACAGAACTAGCAACACTGCACATAACAACAACAAACCACGTAGAATCATACCATTCCAGGATTCAACAACACCTTGATAGTCACATTTCCCTTTCAACCTGTCTGTCTAAACTTTTGTCACATGATGCTGATCTCTTTAAAACAAAACTTGCACAGCAGCACATTCATAACATCAGTAGACACTACTCAACACTTCCAGATGCACATTTACATTCTCTATACAAAAACATACTCACACCTTTTGGGGCAGAATTGGTTGGCCAGCAGATATGTCTGTTTAAATCCATCAATTATAACATTGTTGCGAATGGTGATGAAAGTTTTACTGTTTGGAATGATAAGTTGAATGATTGTTTTTCCTATACTGTTTCCCCTATTTCATGTGACTGTGTTTTTTTCTCTCGCTTTTTGTTGCCATGTCGGCACATTCTGGCATTGAGAACTTTTTTATCTTTTGACTTAGTTTTTGTACCCCCTTTATGTCATTTTAAATGTAAGCCTGTATGTACTTCTTCTGAGCGTCCTGCTTCAGAGATTGTTAATTGTATTATTAAAACTAAACATAATGTTAAAACTGCAGAAGGCAGTTACAATGTTGTTAAGTCAGCAACTAGTGAGTTGAACAGCCTTTTACAAAATATGGGTGAGCGTCAGTTTATAACACATTTTAATTTATTACAAACTTTCATTGCTAATGTTAGATCTGGTAAAAATTTTGCCATTATTGATATTTTGTCTGATGTTAATGCTGTTTGTGAGGTTGCTGATGTTACAAATGTTGTTGTTGCAGATGTTGTTGATGTTGCAAATGTTGATGTTGTTGATGTTGCAAATGTTGTTGCTGATGTTGTTGATGTTGCAAATGTTGTTGCTGATGTTGTTGATGTTGCAAATGTTGTTGCTGATGTTGCAAATGTTGTTTCTGATGTTGTTGATGTTGCAAATGTTGTTGCTGATGTTGTTGATGTTGCAAATGTTGTTGATGTTGCAAATGTTGATGCTTCGTTTAGTAATGTTATTTTGTCTAAAGTTAAATGTAAAGTTAGGCCCAACAACAAGCAAAATTTTACTAGAGTAAAGTGGCGTCTGTGGACAGTTTCCCCCGTGCCGACACTTTGCTGCTTTTCGCTTAATATAAAAATGGTATTAATGTTTTATACGGAATTGCCGCAAACGACACTACGCATGTCCATTTTTAAACACATCCGGGTCAAGTCCTTTTTTTTCCCTCCTAGTGAAAGACGAATTGGAATTTTTGAAAGTCTCGAGGTAAGATGTTTTCTTTAGTTAACATCCCCCGGATGAAGAGCACTAGGCCCCGGATTAGTGGAATAAAACGAGCCAATCATAGCTTATTTAACTGGGTTAATTATAAATAGCTTATATATATATATATATAGAACACTATAAATATCATAGTTAAGGTTGTTTAAGCTATCTTAAAGGAAAAATTGGGGTGTCCGCATAAGGGATATACTTTTTGAAGGGTTAACCTTTTGCGGACACCAAAAAAAAAAAATCCGCCTATATTAGGGCCTACTTACACTTTAAATAAAAATATCTATATTTAAATCTAAGTCTAAATCTAAAGGTTTTTTTTTTAAATGTTAATAGTTTTTTTAATTTTTTTTAGATCATCAATCTCCACAAACATGTCTACTAATCAAAAAATGAAAAAAAAAATCAGTCGGGTCTCACATGACCCTGAAATTGTTAAAACTGCTATAGCAGCCATCCAATCTAAACAATTCTCTGTAAGGGAGGCAGCTTCCAAATTTGGAATCCCTAGCTCCACACTACATGATAAAATGAAGGGGAGACGGCCAGTCGTGGTCACTGAACGTACTCTTCTAACACCAGAAGAGGAGAACCGGTTGGCCAAGTGGTTGATGGAGTCGGCCCAGCGCGGGTTTGGAAAGACCCATGAAGATGTTAAAGAAACAGCAAAAGCCATCATGGCAACGAGAAACGCTGCTTGCAAAAGCAAAACAGAATTGCCATCAAACAAGTGGCTTTATAATTTTTTGAAGCGCCACCCGTTTCTGTCTGCGAGAACCCTGATGCCCCTCGGCAAAGAGCGAGCAACTGTAACCCCAGCAGCTGTGGCAAAATGGTTCGCCACCTTCAAAGCCTGTGTCGATGGCATTGACCCGACAATTTTGGAATCCCCTGAGAGGGTATTTAATGCCGATGAAACCGGTTTCGGTTTTGACGTAAAAAGCAGGAAAGTTGTAGCGTGCAAAGGCTCAAAACACGTCTATAATGTCACGTCAAACACCAAACACCAGGTTACAGTTTTGGTGTGTGCTAGTGCTGCTGGGCAGTACACCCAG